GCATGCAAAGGCAAAATTTGGTTGACCATGAAGAAAACGAGTTAAGAAGAGAGTTTAGAAAGTAGAACTTTATGCCTAGGCTCATCAAATTCAGCGAGAATCCTTCCATTGCCTTTAATGGATTCTGGCAACACCTCTTACAGCATTATCACAGAATCAAGAATCTCAGTGGTTAAGTCCTTGTAAAAAATAATTACGCAATACTGGAATGGGAAAGGATAGGGATAACACAGGAAAACAAGAAGAAAAAGATCACTAAAACTTGAAAAAAAATAGAGAGGAAGGCAAGAAAAATATTTAATAATAAGTTTTTCACAAAATACTTAAGAACTCCAACTAACCAAAATCCCTCACCCTTGATCTAATTCAGCAAAAGACACTTAAAAGTACGCACTAGTTTCCCTATGTCAACTCTAAAATTCAGAATGCTTGTGTATCCATGTATACATATACATATCCATATATACATGTTGTATACATATTCTCAAACACTTTATTGAATCAAGTCTCTTTAATTGCTCTTAAGATCTAGATTTGTGAAAAGAAAAAAAAATAGCAAATCCAGTACTAAAAGAACTCATACTCAGAGAATAAAAACTAGGAAATTGAAATGAAACAATTTCAACTTCCCTTTCATCAACAAAAGGAAGTGCTTGAGATAACCATCTACTAGAGATACTTACCATCTCTTCATTTTATAATTAGGAAAAGCATTCAAAATTACCAGCAAAGCATTGATGTTTGCTTGCAGGGTTTGCGTGCACTTTACACCCTGAATGATGTTATACATACAAAACCCCAAAAAAGTATTTATTTCAGTTTGTCTAAGCATTTCAAAAGAGTATCTACAGTTCACGCACCAAAAGTTTTACTGCCAGTGTTAAAAAAGAGAAGTACGCTCCGCCCCTCAGCATTTCTTTTTAAGGGTTAGGAATGAAAGTTTAAATATTTGAAACATTAAAAAGTAATCTTGCTCTCAATTTACACCTCATATTCAAATTACAATTGAGCATCCACTGAACTATAGGAAAATAAAGACATTATCCAGTTCCGGTACAGGCACTTGAGCATATAGCTATTCCAAAACGTTGATGTTCTTCATAAAACCACCATGTTGTGAACAAGACGTTGAGTAACTTTTCCAGCATTTTAACTAGGGCAGTGGCAAATGTGGAAGATGAGTCTATAACAAATGATACTAGGCTGCTGAAAAATTCCATGCACTAGAGCTGGCAAACAGATATATCAAGTGGACAAACACAATAGGCATTAAGTTTCATTTCAACAAAACTCAGTCTTGTGCCTTCATATATTACCAATTGCAAATTCAGTCATAACTGACCGCTTCTCATAACATCAATACCTTCCAAACAATACCAATGTAAAGAATATCATTTGATACTGTATTCAGTTACCTTTGTCAGTGAAGATACTCTTTGCACATTCAAGAAGACAGCTGTCAGGTGTGGCAATTTTTTAATCTTTTCTGAAAGATAACCATTGCAAAATATAGTGTTAAATGTAAATTCTCTTTTTAAAATTCCCAGACTATAAACCATTTTGCACTGAGCAGAATGTTCATAAAACGTCAAATGGCACCATATTCTTTGTTCATGGAACAGTTGCAATTGCACTGATTTAGTACTGTGCCAAGAACAGTTGCCAGTTTCACTTATGTCCATCACATATACTTACTAAGTTGCCTCACACATTTGCTGGGAGCACAGGTTATGCCTATTCTGTATTGCTTTTGTAACTTTAAAACATTATTTGAAGTTTGTCTGCAAATGTGTATGATGGATAAACAAAATTCTCCCTCTATTCAGCTTTCACACCTATCCTTAAACAGTTCAGAATGATTCAGTGCTGAAAGATCTCAGTCCTTACCTGTCAAAACCTGAAAGTTCCCTTTGCCAAAAACAAACTTCTTGTCAGGATTTTTTGTAGGAATAATTATTTTATCTAAAACTGTCCAATTCTGAAGAGTATCTACAAGAGCGACGGCCTCAGCAATCTGTAATTCAGCTTCAGGAACATAACAATAATAAAAAAGAAGAAATAAAGATTACAATGTACCATCATAACTCTGCTCAGATCTCCATTAGCTACAGTACATGCATGAACGTGGAAAGACTACACTACACTGAAATTCTACTTGGGTATTTATTTTAACCTCTAGCACAAGGAGCAAACTGTCTTACCTCTAATCAGAGTAATTGAATAGTTTGATGAAATTTTATCACACAAAGCATTTTTTGCCAGTATAAATTATTTTTGCGGTTGTTGATTTAGAAGAATTTTTAATTGTATTGACAGAAACTACCAAGCTTTTTGGCTAAACAAGTGAAAATAACAACTAGCTGGAAAATCTGTTATTTCAGACAAGCACAAAACCATGTGATTAACACCTTGGTGTTTTGAGGCAATATTTTAAGAATTATTAACATGGCATAGCCTGCTGCTTACTTCACAGCCACTTATTTGTAAAGGACCTACACTAGTTTATGACTTGCTAGAACCAGCAAATTCCAATCCTGTATTCTGGTGCATCACTTATTTTTTGAAGATTTTGTAAAACTGACTGAAAAACACTACATGGGCACATCAGATCAGCAGATCCAGTCTTGATTTGCCAAAATTTTCCTCTTCTCATAACAGATTTATCAAGTGTCTCTAGATAGCAAAATGTAATTTATATACTAAATAGGTTACCTTGGTCCAAAAGGTAATGTATTTTGAAAGATAACCATGATCCGCTTTATCCTCATATATTGTTAGTATTTCTTGTAAAACGCAAATATTTCCTGTTCTATCTGTGGTGTTTCAACAATCATTCCAAAACATTTTTTCCGACTTCAGGCTCTTCATCTGGAGGGCCTCAAAAAATGGAAAGGGATCATTGCTATTCTTCTGCATGTTTGGACGGAAAGCTGCCTTCATATTTTATTTATTTTTCAGTTGCAAAATAGGAGTGTTTCCCTAAATTCTGAAAAGGTTATAAACTTTACTTTGCAATGTGACAATTTGTTATAATTAGCAGCATTAATAAAACTAAATGACATTTAGGTTCATGACGTAATAAATTCGAATACAAGAATAGATATCATATATAAATTGTCTATTGCCACCCAGAGGGACCTGGACAAGCTCTAGGAGCTGGCCCATGGGAATCTCAGGAGGTTTAACAAGACCAAGTGCAAGGTGCTGCACCTGGGTCAGGACAAGCCCTGGTATCAATACAGGCTGGGGGATGAACAGCTCAAGAGCAGCCCTGCTGAGAAGGACTTGGGGGTGCTGGTGAACGAGAGGCTCCTCATGACCTGGCAATGTGCCTGCAGGCCAGAAAGCCAATTGTGTCCTGGGCTGCATCAAAAGCAGCGTGGCCAGCAGGTAAAGAGAGGTGATTCTGCCCTCTACTCTGCTTTGCTGAGAGCCCACCTGGAGCTCTGCATCCAGCTCTGGGGTTCCCAGCACAAGACAGACATGGACCTGTTAATGGAGGTTGAGGGGAGGGCCACAAAGATGATCAGACAGATTGAACCTCTCCTATGTTGTTGAGAGAGGTGGTAGAGGGCTCATTCCTGGAAATATTCAAGGTAAGGTTGGATGGGGCTCTGAGCAAACTGGTCTAGTGGCAGATGTCCCTGTTCATTGCAGCGGGGTCAGACTAGGTGACCTTTAAAAGTTTCTTCCAACCCAAACTATTCTGTGATTCTGTACATAAAAAGCTAACTTACCAGACGCTTAATACTTTCTATTGCAACTTTATAATTAAGAGTTTGAAGAGTAGAATCAAATACATCACATATTTTAATTGTGCAAGATTAGAGCACATGTATTAGCTAGCTACAAGGATTTCTGAGAGAAATCTAACAGTCGTCCTAAATTAGGTCCTTACAGAGGACTTCTTGGTGACTGCATCACTAAGTAACTGCATAACCACTTTAAGTCCCTGAGCGGACTTATACAAGACTTCATCTTCACTGCACTCTCTTCTTTGGACAGGAAAGTATTCCTGCTCTTCAGCCAAGTGCTGGGCAAGCCTAAGGTCAAAGGTCTCCTGCCCAAATGGCCAGGCAGCACGGTTCAGGGCTGAAGGCTATTAACATTCAGCTAATGAAGGGGACACCCGGCTGTTTCCCTAAGGAACCTGTGCACTCCTGCACTGAGATGTTTTGCTGTCAAAGATACAAAGTTAGTATGATTTACAAGTCAAAGCACAGATCTGCCAACACTCACTGACAGCTCCTTGTCTTTTAAAAGGTTGTCAAAGAAGGAAAGAATGACCTAGACCTTTTATCCGAGCTTGCATTTTGCAAACAGCATTTCGCAGTTTCTCCGCTGTAAGAGAGGGTCCACTTCACGCTGCTGGCACTAATCACGGAAGCAATTAGGTTGGAAAAGATCTCTGAGAACATCGAGTCCAACCTGTGGCCGAACACCACCATGGCAACTACACCATGGCACTAACTGCTGCATCCAGTCATTCCTTAAACACCTCCAGGGGCGGTGACCCCACCACCTCCCAGGGTACTTCATTCCCAGTCCCCTGGCTGTATTCCTGCGCACCGCAGCGCTCCGGGAGCCCGCCCGCCCCCCCGCACCCGTGGTGAGCGGCGACTTCCTCGGGCCCCACTTGACCGCGGGGTGCACGATGGCAACGCGCTGCGCGCCAGGCTCCAGGGCCAGCGGAGAGGGGCCCAGCAGCTCCTCCAGCTCTGCCTCATCCTCCTCCTCTTCTTCTTCCTCCTCGTCTTCTTCTTCTCCACGGCCGCCGGCGCCCGCCGCCCCTTTGCGCCTCCCCCCGCCGCCCGTGCCCGGCGGGTGCGGAGCCCTGAGCCGAGCGGCGGCGCTGAGCGGGCGGGCGGGCAGAGGGCGGCAGTGCCAGCGGGGCGCGTCCAGAGCTGCCGCCGCCGCCCGCCGGCAGCGCAGCAGCAACGACCGCGAGAGGCTCCCGGGCCCCATCGGCTCCTCCGGGCACGGCAGGGAGGGACCGTCCCCGGCCGCGTCCTTCCGGCCGCCGCGGAAGCGCCGCCGCCCGCCCATGTGACGGCGCTCCCCGCCCCCGACGGGCCCAGGCAAGGCCGTGATTGACGCCGGGGCCGCGCGGGGCCTGGGCCCGCCGCGCCGGGGGAGCGCCCGGGAGGGAGGGGGCGGTGTCGGTGAGTTTAATTTCTTTCTCTGTTTCATACTCTTCTGCGGCCGGGGGGAGGGAGGGGCCTTCTGCCTCGGTTTGCCTGGAATTAATTCCCTTTGTTTTCCTTTCTTGACAGTTTTCGGCTGCTGTTTCGCCCGCGAGAGCCGAAGGGATGAGTTTTTAATGCTCTCGATCTCGGTGAAGTTCCTTCGGAAGGCCGTGTCAGCTTTGCTATCTGTGCTGCTGAAAGAATGTAGCGGAAATGATAGCCGAGCTCAACGCAGTCAAGAGCCTTCCCAGCCAAAAGTAAGACCTGGCACAGGTTGCCTCTAAAATTTATTTGGTAAATTAGGGTGCTGCCCCGTGGATTTGTGCCTTGCAGATACCGCGACAATCTACAGTGTGTCATTCTGGGTGGGAGGGGGAAAAAAAAAGGCATTTGCTGTGCGCTATGTCTTCTTACTAATGTGTTAATTTTATTCTCTTTTATGTATTGTTTAGCATCCTCCTAATGTAGTGTTTCATGCTGTTTGAAAGGGACCTTGGCCTTAAAAGCTTTTCTGTGCCTTATTCACTGTAGTGCAAATGAACCTACTTAGAAAAAAAGAAAAAGGCAGATTCATGGTCAGTGCATGTGTTTCCTTCAGTGGTGAGTTTGGGGATGCTGAGGGGGAAGAGTACTAAGTAATCTATAGGCTCCCTGTTGGGACTGGAGGGGGCATAGCTGTTTTTGTCAGGAATCCAGCCTTCTCCCCCTTGTAAAGTATTTTTCAGTCATCAGTTGATTTGATCTGAAGTATTCATATTTACAGAATGATAATTAGTTCTACTAGAGCAGATATAAATAAGTAAATGGTAAAGTTAAAACATTTGGGCATATCTTGTTTGGTTTCAAAGAGTGAAGCTCCTTAGATGTCCAGTGTTGAGTGCTTTGAACTCATTGCAGCCCAGTCTTTGCTGATCCTGTCACCTGAGCCAGTTTGCTCCAGGTATTTTACTTCATTGTGCTCTAATGAAAGCTGAGAGAGTTGTAGTCCATGATGACAGTTAATATAGGTTCCCATACGGCCTTTCAAGTATGTTTCATCTGAAACCAGCCTTTTAGCTTCAGGAGCGTCATGAAGGCACCTGATAGTTGTTTAGTGGAGCTTCTTATGTTGCTTCTTAAAGATGAAGCACTTGTGTTGAAATTTGTAATTTAAAAAAAGCTATGTGTAGGATTCTTTCAGTAACATAGATTAATTGTTTCTTTTTACACAGCTAAAGGAATAATGTTATCTTTTAGGTAAACAGATAGCTTTCTTATTAAGTGTTAGTCACCAAATGTTCCAAAACTGAGTTCAGAAGTTATCACAATAGTATTGTGTTTGAGATGAGGACTAGACGTAGGACTTGGCTTCCTTCCTACTTCAGGTGTTTTATCTCATCGGTAATACTTCAAGTGCTAGTGAAAGGACCATATTGTGGCAACAATGCAAGGTAAAAATTAGTCTCTGAGAGTTATGTAACTGAGCATAAAGGTGAAAATTAGGATGAGGTAGGAAGGGAATTCGGCTTATGCTTTCTTACTGAATGCTGATGGAAGCAAACTAAATGGCTAAGAGCTGTTTCTTCCAGTGCTTGAGGCAGTGGATTTATGTATGCAAAAATATTCAGGTGTAGAATAACAGGGGGTGGAAATAAAAACCTAACTAGTTCAGAATTTGTTAAACCTACTGTTGCACTCCTGTAGTTGAAAAGCTGTTAGATGGAGTTATGGATAGGGATCGCTGCAGAAGTGATCCCCATGTCCTCCTCAACTAGGTACGGTAGTTCCTATGTTGCTCAAGAGGATAAGGTGATGTTATAATTCTTTTAACAGTTTCTTCCAAAGAAATGTAGTTGTGCAAATAAAGACTCCATTTAAATATCTCATTTGATTGCTAAGTGCTTTTATGGGGTTCAGTTTCTTGGTGTTGGTCTAGTTCCTGCAAATATTTACGTACCTGCCTTATGAATAACCTTACTGGAAACATCAGTATTAAAAGGGAAAAAAAAAAAAAAAGAGAAGAGAAAAGAGAAGCAAGAGTATTAATAGTATTTGAATTTTAAAATTCCTCTACTTTAGTGTAGGTTGTCTGTTGTAGTTCTTCCTGGGGCATTGCTGTGTTCTGTGGCGTGCTGATAACCAAACCAGTTCAGAAACCAAATGGATTTCTAGTATTAATATTTAGTGTTTAGTTACATTTGTTGAGTGTTTAAGACATGTTTCGTTGCATGTGTGACAGTTATTCTGGTTTCATCCCAGATACGTTGTTTTATTTGGCATTGTGAGCCCAACATGAGGAAGCTGTAGATCAGCGTTCTTCTCACTCTTGCAGGTTTTGCTGAGCTTTGGTAACACGCTGTTCCATATGCCAGGCATTCCCTTGCTTTGTTGAGCCCCTTTTGCTATAAGTACATTTTATCTTGCATAAGGTACAAAGTAAGTAGCATAGGCCCAGTAGACACTGTCTGCAGTGCCATCCTTCAGGATGTTCTTGGGAAAGAGATGAATGAGTTAGAACTTCAAAGAAGTATGTTCTAGACAGAAGTACTAAAACCAGTACGTGATCAGACAAGTACTTGACGGAACTGTCCTGCAGCAGTTCTGATTTTTTAATTAGTTAAATGTTTTAAATGAACTCAATCATAGTTGCTGTAATCAAATGCAGTGCATTTATTTTCATTACGAGATGGAGTAGGTTGCTAAAGACTACTTGTAAACAATTCAGGAAAACTTTTTGAAAGCGTGTTAAGTGTTATGTTGAGGTATAAATGGAGAAACAGGTAACCCATGTTGGATTGCATCTGAGTTGTAGTTCTAGTGAAACAGTGCAAGTGAGAACTTGTTAGTCCAGCCCCGTAGTGTTGCATTCTGCTTTGAAATCAAGAGTGAAGAGATTTAATCACAAAGGAGAACCATTTACTTGACAAACATGTTTGGATTCTTTTTGGTTTTGTGGTCTGTAGAAGAATCTGGGAAGAGCAAACTGGCATCAGAAAAGCAATACATATTGCTATCTCTTGCCGCTTGTTCTTTTCAGGTAGGAAGCCTCTGGTGGTACTTGAGATACTTAATTTCTGTGGCTCACAATTATAAGTCAAGACCCTTGAAAACTTTTACAAATGATTGCCTATATCATGCTGACTCAGCTGTGAACTATAGTTCATTCTACTTTTCACATGCAAAAGTCCAGACTAGAAGTCCTGATGTAAGGATTAGTTCATCCTTAATTATTTTCTTTGCTTCCGTTTGTCAAACATTGTGGCACGGTTTGAACTTTTCTATGAGAAGTGGTTAATTGAATTTAACTTTCATGAGACTTTTCTCTGTAGGGAAGGTAAGCATTTACATAATTGTATTTAGAAATTTTGCACATTTTTATGTAATTTTATATTTATATAGAATTTTTATAGGAGCCTTTGGAAGCATAATTCTACGTTGCTTCTTGAAGTGTCTCAATAGATTAAAAAAGTTAACAGAGACGTTTTTAAATAAAAAATTCTGTCTGCTCTCACTGGCAAAATAACATCAGGACCTTGGTTGTGCAGTTGATGCTATTCAGCCTCAGAATTTGCTTTGCAAAGCAGTCTTGGGAAGTAGAACAACAGGAATGCTTATCTGGCATTGATAAACCTTGCTGGAGTTGAGCTGGCTCAGCATCCATATCACAGTTAATTCTCCATCTGGATTAACCAACACTGGATACTGGAGAGCTGACTGTATTTGACAGTGTAATACACTGTCTTTCCCTTTGTAAAGTGGTCACTTGTGTTAGCACACTCTCTTGTTGCAGCAATATCATGAAAATAAAGTAATTGTACACTCTCATATTTACTTTCTTTTTGTGCCTTCTTATAGTACAAGTCAACTGGCTTCATGTCCTGGCCACTGTAGTTTAAAAGGAGGCCATAGCAGTCAGCTTCCAGCACTGGACCTGCTGCACAAGTGGGATCCAGCTCGTCTGCTCAAATGTGACCTTTGGCAAAGCACATTGTTAGCATTGGGAATGATGAAAAGTGGCATGATTTCATTGCAGATAAATGTATGGCTTCAGATCTCCCAGAAGGTGCATCTTTCTTTATAAAATTATTCCTCCATCGTATTAGCAATGACCTGCAAATGAAATTTCTTATGTGTCTTTTTTCTTCAGCATGTTTTATAGACAAAATAAACCAGATTCCTCCTCTCATTTTAAATTGTACACCCGTCAAATATTACTGCCTTGTTTTGTTTAGAGCACCCGCAGAATGAATGCATACTTGTGTTATTGGTTCATGGTGCAAAGCTGTTAAGTCAACAAAGGCTGCACTAAGTCAACGTCAGCTTTCTGTTTCATTTACTTACTTTCTACTTCCTTGATATCTTTGATAGTTTTCCTAGTTTTCTGATTTTTTGTATATCTTACAGGAAAGCCAATAGTCTGAAAAAGGCCCAAATTTCTGTTGTATTTTTAAAGTTTGCTGTTTGTTTTTTTAGTAACAAAATGCCATAACTTCCAAACAATTAATTAAAAATACTAAAATACATATAAATGCTTTTATTTTCTTCTGTTGTTTGTGCTGAAGCGTGTAGTTCCGTGTTCTCATTGCTAACCCCTTCAACATGTTTGTTACACTTTAGAGTGAATGCTGTCCATGATGAGACTGTGCCTGAGTCTGCTGTGCAGAATGGCACCTGTGTGAGAAACGGCAACCTGAAAACACCAGTAAGTCGGTTTTAAAACTTTTAAAAAATATTTAATTACTTAAATTGCAGAATCTATTTTCTGTCTCATTCCATTGTTACAAAAATGATACTACATAAAGTAGTTTCAGTGCATCTAAAATCTAGTTACTGGATATAGCTTGATCCTCAAATTCCATTGGCTGGCATCAGAACCTCAATGCTGGCTCTCAGTTTGTTTCAGCATGTGATTTTCCTTCCCTGGGCTTAGTGTGCAGCTGATGTCGATCTGCAGGTTGTGAGTTTAACCTGAGAGTGAAAAGATGTAGAGGAGTTTCTGTGCTTGCTGTCTGTTCTTCAGAAATTACAGCTGATACTGAAAACTGCCTTCTGGGTGGTATACAACTGTACAGAAGATTCTTTCCTGTTATACCTTCCTATGCTTATGACTCATTGTTGAGAAAAAATTCAAGCAGATAAATCCTTTCTTTCATTCCCTTTTAGTACAGTTGTGTTTGAGAAAGCTTTATGGGTGTCCTTGGGGGATAAAAGTTAGCAGCCTGGGGAAGTGATCGCAGTAAGGGTGAAATAAACTCATTGTTAGGGGATAATTCATGTGTCTGTGAACGTCTGGTGTGCACTGCGTTTTCTCACGTGCTTTCTTTGCTTGACTCGTTTCAGAGAGAGAAACGGAAGGTCCGAGAACAGTGTGAAAACATAAGGAGGAATTCTACCAGTAGCAGGAGAGTGAGCCGGCTGCAGAATGGCGAAGTCGTTGAGGCAGTTACATTGTTTGAAGTGGTTAGCATGGGGAAGCAGGCCATGCAGGTATTTCTAGCACTGAATTCTGAAAGGTCTTGGTAGAAGGAAGATGGATAAACAGTATTTCAGGCATTTATACTGTGTAGCATTTACATTTTGGCATAGGTGGGGAAGAAACATGTTTGATTGGACAACTGTTATGAGCATGACTTAAAAAGAGCATCTTGCATCTTCAAGAAATTAGTCAAAAAGTAGCTGTCAGATATGTAAAAAGAGGAACAGAATTATACCTAAAGCAGTGTTCCTAAGGCAGTGCCTGAACATACTGGAAGATAATTATTTTAAAAAGTGTGGAAAAGTCTCATCAGTAGCAGATTTTAGTTGTCCAGGATGCTGAAAATCAGGCCTTCCTTTTTTTTTTGTCTCCCTAGGTGCTTTCGTTTTGGTATTTTTCTTTTACCTCTATTCCAATGTGGTTTGATAGTAGTTTGCATAATAGTCAGGTTTCCTGTGCGTCTATATAGTTAGCTTCAGTGTGAGGAAGCCCACCTCCCCATACTCTGTGAGCACATGTATACATTATGTTTGTATATGTGTATGAAAATCTGGAGCCCCAAATATTTTTATACAGTTATACCTATGTCTCCAGTGTGTAGTGTCTGTAAGCAAAGTGTATGTGTGTCTGTGCACGCATGCATGGAAAGTACATTTATATTTTGAATGCGAGGCCTTAGTTTTTCCAAGATGTTTGTGTGGATGGACTTTTGCCATGCTTAAGCTGTGTTAACTTCAGTAGAGCTCCCTGAAGAGCTCGCCTTCTGCTATGCAAACCGTGATGGGAAGGTGCTGGAAAGGCAGTAGAGCTTGAGCTCTGCTGCTGCTAGAATTTAATAGACCTGTGTAGCACTACCAGGGGGTTGAAGCCTGGATGGTTTGTCCCAGGAGGCCTGTGTCACACAGGTTGTAGGCTGTACTGCACTAGAGATGAAATCTGGAGTTGTTTTTTGGTTTAAGTGTAATATGTGAACTATTTCAATTTGCTGCACAAACGAAGTGCTGGAGAAGAAAGCTCCCAGGGAAAATTGCTATTAATTTAATACTAATTATTAGATGGTGCAGTGGTTAAATATATGTGTTTTTGTTTTGTTTGTTTATTTGTTTGTTTTTAAATTAAACTGTTACTTTGATACTAGCAAGAAGTCAGGAGGATGACTTTTTTTTATATTAAATTTATTAAAACTGTGGTTATGATGTCATGGTTTGAGATCCCCAAAATCTAATTCCCTAGTCTAAGCCCCCTCCCCCATCTCAACCTAGTATAAGATGTGGGGTTTTTTCCAGACAAAACACGAGACTCAGAATGGGGGAAAGGGAATATATTACAATGACTGTACAAATAAATATTATAATACATTATACACATGATCACAACTATCTCTACCATGACATAAGTATTTACAGTGGATCAGATCTCCTCTCCCCTCCAAATAAAAGTCCAGGAGGGAAGAAGGACAGATCCCTTCTAGTCTCTGAGCAGTTTCTCTATGGTAGCAGTCATCTGTCCTCTTCACCTGCATGCAGCTGATAGCTGGATTATTGTAGCTGGATTTCTTCTCAATACACACAAGGGGATCTCCAAGGCCCTTGGCCCGTCGTCTCCAAACGAAGGGTCTTCAAGACACAAGGGGGTCTCCTTTCACCCCTCTTGGCTCTCCTTCGACTCCAAGCGAAGGCCTCACCTGTGGACTGCCAGCAGGGACAAAACTCGCTTCACCACAGGCATATCACAAAGTGCAGGGGCATCTTCGTGAAAGTCCCTTCCTCAGGGGGTTCACCTCTGAGTCAGAACATCTTGGGCAGCTTTCAGTTGAAAGCCTTTGCCCCAAGAGTTCTACCAGAGCTCCTGTGCTCTGTCTCAGGCTGCCACCTTGGCAGCAGTGGCGAGGCGGGGGGGGAAGGCCAAGGTCACCCCCCTCTGCATTCCTCTCCGTCCCGGTCCAGCTTCCCAGGATGCTCTGAGCTTCTCAGCTCCTCTCTGTAGTGCATGTCGCACTTCACCCCTCCCTTCTAGGACGTGAGGGGTCTCCAAGGAGTTTGGGGGGTCTAGTTCAGTTCTTACCCCCAAAACTCTGTAGCTCTGCTGCTGACTCTCTTTTCTCGGCTCTCCTTCCAGGAGTCCTCTCTGCGGTGCATGCCGTTTGCTGTTTGGTTCAGTTCTTATCTGTCCTTAGCCATAGTCTCTGGACGCTGCTTCTGCTGCTGCTCTGTCTCTGCTCACTTACAGTGGAGAAAACCTTCTTAGCTCTCACCTGCAGGCACCTAGCCCAGCTTTATGCTGTTCCAGGTCCCTGCAGCCCCTGCTGGGGGCTGGGGGGCCAAAGCCCCCCAGGGGCTTCTGCCCTCTGCTTCTCGTGGCCTCAGAACATGGCTACCACCTCTACAACCAAACTACAACTCACCTTCTCTTCCGTTTGCTTGTGGTATGTTTACATTTCGCAGGAGCGCAGATTGGACAAAACTTCAAAACTTCCAGGGGTCACCACCCCCGGGGTTTTACCATTTTCTTAGCTTCAGGGGGAAAACCTGGTTCAAACCACTACAGTAGTTTAAGGCTTCATTTTGCCCCAGAAGGAGTTTTTAAAACTATTAGAAATGGAACAGAATTGTGTGGAGTTTATTCTTGTTTTTATAATTTAATGGAGATGGAACAGTGTTAGTTTGTGTCTTTATTATGGATATTGTCAGTGGAGTACAGCATACTGTGTTCAGCTCCTGACTAATGAGTTTCTTTAATCTGTTCTAGTCTGTAGTAGATGACTGGGTTGAAGCTTATAAACAAGACAGGAATGTGGCACTTCTAGATCTGATCAACTTCTTCATTCAGTGCTCAGGCTGTCAAGGTAATTTACCCTCTTAGTAGCCCTTTCCATTGTCTGTGGATGAGAATAGTCTGAAGTGTGCTTTCTAAAATGGAATTTTTCTCTTCAGTAGATCATGCACTTATAATCTGTACTGTTCGTTAAGACAAACTCCAGATGGGCAGGACTAATAGTAAAGAATGCTGCTGGTTAAACTCTTTGACTCTGTGTTCACAGCATTCCAGCTCTGAGAGTTGTATTTGAACGTGGTTTGCGAGGTCAGCTTTCTGAAGTGGCATGTCACATCGCTTTGCAGAATCCCCACGTAGGGAAGATGGTTTTAATGAGTGTTCTAATTAAAATCCAGTGTTTCAGTTGCCATTTGTTTTGTAATTTCTGAATTTATTTTGTATTGCTGGTATCTTTGTCTGAAAAGAAGCAGCTAACAAATTCAGCTCCCTGCTTTGGTGGCTAGAAAAGCAATGCATTGCCTCATTGTGGCTCTTTTTACCAGAGGGTGGTGAAGCTGTCTGTTTGGTAACAAACATTGAGACACTGACTTATGGGGACAATCTGCTAGTGAAATGCTTCAAGATGTCAAGTAAGAGTTTTAAGAAGACAGTTCTGTTAGTTTGAAACTTCTGAGTGTATTAGACAGCTAGAAATGTACCTTTTACACTTCTTTTTTTTTTTCAGGTCTTTGCCTAATATGCCTTCTCTCTAGTATTTTGGGGTCTTTGACTAGCAGTGGGCAAAATTTTAGTAAATCTTTGAAGTAAACGAGTGGACAGAGACAGGGCCAGACAGCACAGAGCAGACTTCTCTAAAGTGCATTTCAGTTTTGGTTCATCAGTACTTTTTCTTATCAGTGAACTTATGTGTCTCTTAATATATCTATTGCCCATAGCAGTGTAGCAGATAAATAAAAAAGAGTCCTACTTTCTTGGTGTTTCTAAATTTGAAATAAAGTCCTTACTGTGGTTTGGACTTGATTAATGTTGTGTGGTTGTTGATAATTCTTGTTTTTAAAACATTACTTTCCTAGGCATGGTAACAGCAGAGATGTTTCAAAGTTTGCACAAGAAGGATGTCATGCGAAAAATGACGGAGACCTTTGATGAGGTAGGCACAGCTTTGACTTTGCATGCCTTTTTTATATAAATAATAGGCTCTACCTTAATAGCCAACCTGGTCAGAGTTCCTGTTGCTTATTGGGAGCTGTGTCCCATTTCCTTAATTTAGAAAAATAATCCTGTTTTTCAGAAGAGAAATTTGGTGTTATAATGACCCATTTTAGCAGCAGCAGGATATGTTTTTTGTAAGTCACTTTTATTTTGAGAGTGTTATTAGGGCTGTCTAACTGCAGTCTTCCTGAATCTGACTTTCTCTTAGGAGTTCTTTTGGTAGTGACTTCCTACAGGTAAATATAACTTGGTGTTTCAGCAAGTAAATGGTTCTTTTGGTATTTGGTTGATGGGTCCTTTAAAAAATACTAATATAGATTACTGATATTTTTAACTGACATTTTTATTTGAATATGTTCCTTCCGCTTTATTGATACTATGATTTTTAATGATTGCATTATGTCCTATGAAAGAAGAAAATTTTTTAGATAATTTTGAAAAAATGGTGAATCATTTCTTGTGGATTGTTAAGAAAAACGTGCAGCTTTACAATGATGCTTCTCTGCTTGACTGCTCCTTGGCTAATTATGGCAACATTAAATTTTCTACAGTGTTCTCACGGTTGCTTCTGTGCTTTTTTTTCTGTATTTGTCACCTCTGAATTGATTTGTCAAGCAGCAGCCATCAGCCTTGCTTTAATTGAGCATCTCTCAAAGACCAGCTGCTGTAGAAATTCCCACAGAGGATGAATTTGTCAATATGGTTTTCTTCATTTTAGAAGTGTAGTAGTTCTTGGGCTAATTTTTGACAGAAACGATCCAATATGTGTCTGGCCATATGAATTAGTAATCTGGCACTTCTTTGCCAACTAAATTAGGCCTGATTAACACTCATGGAATTGTAGGCACTCTGACAGATACAAACATGTGATTGTTGTTATCATCATCCTGGAAGTATTACAGCTCTGTAACCTTTTCATCTGTCCTGGTGGGCAAAAAGGAAGGTTCTGCAGTTACCTTAGAAACTGTATTCTGTATGCTATATAAAGAAAGTAAGTTCTCTCTTATCTTTTTCATAAATTAGATGGAAATGTCAGTTAGTGATTAAGTTAGTTGAGAAATGATGCCATAGAGGACTACTATTTCAAAACCATTTTTTTAAATGATAGTAGTAGTGAAAGTAGTAATGAGAGTGGAGAATATTGCCGTGTATGTGCTCGAGTACCTCATCTTGCCTTTTAATTTTTATTGTTTGTTTCTAGCATTCAGAGGATTGAAAAATTAAAGGTTTTTATGTAATTCTTCATTCCTGATGATTTCAGTGATTCAACCATGGCATTGCTGTTCAGTTAAATAATTGCAACCTTGTACCAATGCTTCCTCCTAAAATTTTCACTAGTGTTAGTGGGAAATGTCAGTGGAGTTGAATTTTGCAAGAAGTATGAAGGGCAGCAAGAAAAGAATATATAAATATTCTGGGTGGCGAAGCTGTCTGTTTGGTAACAAACATTGAGACACTGACTTGTGTCAGTGATCTTCCCAGTGATCCCTGGGAAGGTGAAGAAGCAGCGAATTCTGGAAGTAATGTCCAAACACATGGAGGTTAAGGAGGTGATCAGGAGTAGTCAGCATGGATTTACAAAGGGGAAATTGTGCTTAACCAACGTGATAGCCAACTATAACAAAGTGAGTAGTTTGGTGGATGAGGAGGGATGAGCAGATGTTTTTTTGTCTTGACTTCAGTAAGATTTGATACACTGTTCTCATGTACAAGCTGGTGAAGTATTGAGTTAGTTTAGTGGACAGTTGGGTGGACTGAAAACTGGCTGAACAACCATGCCCATGAGGTTGGCACAAGGTCCAGTTGGAGGCTAGTCACTAGTGCTGTACCCCAGGGTTTGATATTTGGGCCAGTGCTGTTTATCATATTGAATCATGACCTGGACAGTGGGACAGAGTTTGCTCTTAGCAAGTTGTCAGATGATACAAAAGCTAGACCAGGTGGTTGTTCTGCTGTTCAGCGGGATCTCAACAGACTGGAGAGTTGGGCAGAGGGGGAGCTCATGAAGTTTTACAACAGGAAACCCTGTAAATCTGGGGATGAATAACTCCATACACCGCTATGCGCTGGGGGCTGATTGACTGGAAAGCAGCTCTGCAGAGTAGTATCTCTGTGTGGATGACAAAATGAACATGAATCAGCAATGCACCCTCACAGCAAAGTTGACCAACAGCCTCCTGGGCTGCATTAGGCAGGGCACTGCCAGCAGGTCATGGCACGCGATCCTTCCTCTCTGTTCATACTACTGAGACCACATCTGGAGAGCTGAGTTGAGTTCTGGGCCTCACAGTACAATAGATAGAGATGGTTTACTGGAGTGAGTCCAGTGAAGGGCCACGAAGATGATTAATGAGCTTTCATATGAGGAGAGGCTGAGAGAGTTGACCGTGTTCAGTCTGGAAAGAAGGTGGCTCAGAGGAATCTCATCCGTGTTTAAAAATACCTGATGTGACAGAATGACAAGGAGGAAGCACAGCTCTACTCAATGGTGCCCAATGAGACAGTGAGTGCAAAGGCAAGCCAAGATAGGCAAGGGCACAATCAGAAATGTATGAAATTTCACCTGAACACAAGAAAACTTTTACTGGGAGGGTGGTCAAGCAGTGGAACAGGTTACCCAGAGAGGTTGTGGAGTGTCTGTCTGTGAAAATATTAGTTGACTGCACAAGGCATCACCTGACACTGAGAGGACAGACATGTACTTTCAGGGATCCTTGGCAGAATGATGGTGGCACTAATTGTAGTTACAATTAAAGCTTTATTTCTTAACAATATATTATGATTAGTCTAACACAGAATTTATGATTAAAATGGCAGAGGATTTCTACAAGAAGAATCAATGTAATATCATAATATAGAATTTATAATACAGCTCAGGTCTCACTGTCCAGCAGCAGCTCTGGTCAAAGTTCATCATTTAAGTCTTGCAGCCCCTTGATTCTATAGACTGCTCTGGTTGCTGTGATGGTTCCCTGTTGTGTGACTGGGTCATTGCCACCACCTGTCTGTCTGGATGCGTGGGACCTTCAAGGCCAGTAAGGAAGGAAGTACTTGGCCTAGCTCTCAAAAACCATGAGACCACTAGGAAGGGGAAGAAGAAATCTGTTTGGTTTGTCTACTTGGTTCACAGGACCTTCTGGTCCTGAGAATGAGGGAAAGGGAATGAATATGTGACCTGCTTGATCACAGAGAAGTGGTGCTTGCCTCATAAAATGGCATTAGTTATGCTAAAGACATTAGTAGGGGTTGAGTCACACATGGCACTGGGCAGCCTACTTTGGCTGACCCTGCTTGAGCAAGTGGGCTTGGTTTAGATGATCTCAAAGAGTCTTTCTCAATTTCAATCTTTCTGTGATTCTGTGAACGCTTTTGCTGGTGTTGGCTGCAGAGAATGTGATCGTTGAGGCATTTCCTCTTTGTGGTCTGTGGTATTCCTCAGTGGTGAGATAGACTTGTCTTTAGGACCACTGTTTTCTGTTTTACTTCTTTCTTAAACTAATCTGTGTCTCTCTTCTGCTTTTCTTTCTGTATGTGACATTTTATTTTTGTAGTTCTTTGTTCTTTTATAGGTTTCCCTTCCCTTTCCCATTTTGTTGCTGAAATGTTTGTCAATGGAAGAGTTAAGTTTGATGCATAATTGTACAACTAGATGGGGATAGAAATACTTTTACTTCAATAAGCATAATAAATAACTCTAGATTTCATGCCTTTTGTCTTGGAATAATTGCAGAGTTGAGAAAACATCTCTGAATCAAGTTACACTAGTGCTGAAAACATTTCTCTATAATTTGAAAAGCTCAGAATGTTTTTTTTTTTTTAGAGTTTGGATGTTTTACAGTATCTAGGTACTAAATGTTGGAAAGGGATATATACTTAGACTTGCTGAGAAGCTGTATCTTAGAATTAATAATGAGGGTTACACTTTGTATATGTTTGCTTTTAAATTTTGAAAACAAGTTGTGTCTTACTTGTAGCAAGAAAACTCAGGTTTTATATAAAACTGTGTTTTTCTTCTGTCATTGGTTATAAATAAAAAATACCAAGAAAAGAAGGATTTAGATTTTGTTTAATGTTTTAGGTTGTCTGAACCACCTGTAATACACATTGTCTGAATAGCCTTTTAAAGATGTTGCATGTTTTGTGATGCTTTTGTGTTTATAAATTAACTGTGCCATTTCATCATCAAGCTTTCAAAATTTTGTCTCCTACATTACAGGAAACTGGGTTGCAGTACAAGAAATTCATGGCCTATCCTTGGATCCTGACAGTTACTTGGCCGGTGGACATGGTAGGACTGTTGTGGTTCTCTGCAACTGAAGTATAGCAGTTTCTATGGCTGTATATCCTGTTTCCAGTGTAGGCAGACACATCAGAAGTAGTCATCTTAAAGTGGGTGGAGATAATCGTGCACTTCTAGAGGTGCCTCATCAGGTCTGTTTTAGACCTCTGGTTTGGATGAACACACACTTCTAAAGTGTCTGTTTCTCACTACTTATGTCAAAGAGATGGGACATCAGCATTTTGAACAGATTGGTGTGTATCAAGTTGCAGTGGTGCTCAAGAATGTTCCCCATCCCCTCCAGCAAGCTCTACACACACGTGTGTGTGTATGCATGCGTATGTGCACACATGCGTATGCACACAGAGGTTTTGGCAGGCAGATTTGTTCAAATAAATGGAAGAATATTTTGAGAGCAGAATCAGCTTTTCTGCAATGCCCCTTCCCATACAACAATTGCAGCATTGTGGGGAATTTATCTCATTTCCTTGCTGGCACTTCATTTTGATTTTCCTCTGTTTACATAGACTCTGTATGAAAGAAGGAAACATTTCCAGGTTGAGTCAGAGCAGGAGCTCATATCACTCACTTGGGTGATTTCAATATTTTCTGGAAGAACCTGTGTGAAGTGCCTAATCTGACTTGATTTCTGGAAGCAGAGCTGCTTCTCTACTGGTTATGGAAGGAATCTAAGGGAATCCCAAGTTAGGTGCCTAACTTTAGGTGGTGTGCCCATTGTGTCGTCTATATGTTTACAATATGCATGTTACCATTAAACAGTATCCCAGTGCAATAAACAAGGATAGTAGTAATGTTCTTGAAAAGTGAGATTTTGTATATTTGTGCTGCTTTTCAGATTGAGGAGTAAGTTATGGTGGTAAAGTAGGTATTTCCTGAAGTTGTAGATTGTCTTTCTACTGTCTGTGTCAGGATCAAGGAGCATTAAATGGAGCTTGATGAGAACTTCCCTTTCTGTCTTGGCACTTGCTGCTGCTGTTAGGTTCTGAACTGACTCTTATAACCTGACCAGGAACACATCCCAAATTCCAGATTTCCAGTGTATTTTAGGTTGTGGCCAACCCTGTGATCAGTCTGGGTTTGCATTTATTTTTTTCAAGAAAGCCATGGCCCCTGTGCTTTGGAAATAAAGTTACAAGAGAAGAGCATAAAGTGTACTTTTTAAGTACACAAAGTTGTAAGTTAGAGTATGTCTGAGAAGGTGTTTGACCACCTAGTGAAGGATCAGCTGAACCGTGGCCTGCCTTCAGGATGAAGTTTTCCATAGTGAGTAAAATTTTGGAGTTCCTTGGCTCCACTCACACCTGGAAACTGTCAGGATGCAAATTCATATTCTGAACCATTCCTGGGATCTGTGATGTGTAAATGAAATAAATATTCACACTGTCTGAGGTTGCCATTTACAGTCTTCCTAATGTGCCTTTCACACGAGGTGCACCATTTTGTGTGAGAAGTCATTTGAACTTCCCTCTGTCTGCTTTTCTCCTGGCAGTATGAACTGTACTGTGAATACTTACGGTTTTACTGTAACTTGCTTTTTGTGTAATGTCAAAGGTATTGCCTACTTACTGTTTTTGTGGAGGTTTTTGGAGACTCTGGTGTGGACGGTATAGGTGAATGACACCTATGTCAGTAAGCTTTAGCCTGATAAACTCCTTAAGCTGGCAATGCTACTGAGGAAAACAATCCCATCCTGTTCACACCGCAGTTGTTTGTCTCCACTTACACTCACTTAATTTTCTGCCTGGATTTTACCATGCTTTTGCAGGAAGAGGAAAGACAGGGAAGTGGGGAAGCACTACTACCTTTGAGGAAGTAGAGGGGGCCATGAGTGCTCATGGTTTATGCCACTGAAAGTTATTTATGATGCTCTGGCTTCACATGCCCTCTCCTCCTGTCTGTTCACAGCTACCTCACGTACATTGTTTTCGAATGTGAGCTGTCATGGCAGGGTAGCTATGATGAAGCTATTTTGTCTCTATGCTTGCTTGTAGCCTAGTTGCTTGTCCCTGATTTGGAGTAATAACCATGAAAAAAGTTTTGGGGGCATGAAGTGAAACTCACCAAAACTCTCTCTCATATTCAATGGGAGAGATGTGAATGCAAAACAAAGATAATTAGTGTGTTTTCTCTTGACTTTTCTTTCTTGTACAGGGCAATGAAGACTACCCACTGATCAGAACAGGACCCTACTGGAAGAAGTTCAAGGCCAATTTCTGTGAATTTATTGCAGTGCTTGTCCAGCAGTGCCAGTGCAGCATCCTGTATGATAGCTACTTGATGGACACTGTCATCTCGCTGCTTACAGGCTTAGCGGACTCCATGGTCAGAGCATTTAGACACACAAGCACTTTGGCAGGTAAAATAAATCGCAGAGTTGCTGGAGATAATCTTTAGAGTAGATAGAGTTTTGTTGTCTTGTGTACAAACAAAACTGCTCTAAATTGAAAAGCTCTGTTTACTGGAACAGTTGTTCTCTTACGCATTGAGAGTGCCTTCCTCCTAATATATGTTATACAATTGTCTAGAATATGAATTGTTTGTTCCCGTGTGTATCTGAATGGAATTTGGATGCTTTAGATATGATAGATTTAGCTCAATTTTTTCTTTATAAAGAAATTTTCTTTAGTGTCTGACATGACTAACTTTAGAATTATGCTGTTCTGAGTCTTTTTTTTTTTCAGTAACTGTTTTTTCATAGTTTTCTACTTTATTTTCCTCCCTCCACTGATTAATGTGATGAGGTTGCATTAAACTCTTCACCTAAAAAAGCTTCCTTTGGAGAGCTGCTATTTTTGTGGTCTCTGTGCTAAAAAGAACATTTTTGTCTCATGAAGCATGATGATACTAAAGCTGCAACTTTTTTTTCCTCCTAAAGCTAGTAAATACCCTCTTCACAATGCAAAGAGCACTTAAAGTATAATTTAGTATGCTGTTTGCTTTGAAGACTCAAAAAACCCACTTGAAATCTATACAAACTATCTAGCAATCCTTAGGGGAATATGAATTTTTGTCAATTCCATTAAAATTAAGATTCCCAGCCTTTTCTGAGCCAGCTTCCCTGGTTTTTCTATTTTTTTAGTTACTGAAAATCAGCTGTTCCACAATTCTAGATTCTTTTGCAGAAAAGTCAGGATTACATAAACTAAGAAGAGTTGCCCAGTAAATTACTTCTCTGACTAGAACTCTGACCAAAAGTTGTAAATCACCAGAAATAGAACTTAGTTTTCCTTTTTTTGAAAATTGTCTGCCTTTAATAAACACTGTATTTTAAAATAAATTAATAATCCAGTAATGTTCATAATTTGGATATAAAATGGATTTGGCTAACCTTATCCTTTTTGTGATAAAGTGATGAATATATTTATGCTACATATCTCTGAGCTAAGCTAAATGTGTTGGGTTTGTTTCTTTTTTAGCAATGAAACTTTTGACAGCAGTTGTAAGCGTCCATCTGAACCTTGATGTCAACAAGCACAATGCTCAAAGATTATATGAGGTGGAGAAGCAGAGGATAAGTGGCAAGAGGACCAGTTACAGACTTGACCAGCTAGAGAGAAAAAGGAAAGAGGTTAGGGAGGTGTCTTGTATGGGAGATGTGTGAAAATGTAAAAAGAGGGATTTCTGACTGCTTGCTTTTGGGTCACTGCAACTCTTTGAGGTTTATATGTTTCTCTAATGCATTGTGCAGAGCAGGTGTGACTGGCTGGATTAAGTGGTACAAAAATGACTAACGTAATAACTGCATTATGTACTGTTAACCTCTGATGTCTGTCCTAGTAACGGCTTCTTTAAATTGGTATTGTTAGCCCTTGATCTTTGCACAAATGTGGGTTTACACACAGATTTAATTGCCTCAGTAGCTCTGGTGTTGTGGGAGTGCAGGTTTGTATGCGTTTGTACAAATTACAAGCCAAAATGTTAGCAAAGAATGAAAAAGGACACAGGATAACTGACATCTCTGTGTAAGTAATGCATTATAAAAACAGACTTAGCTCAGGTATGTCCTGTATCACTTTTGCTGTTCAGTTTCTGTCATTTCTTCCCTGCTCAAACAAACAGCTCCTTTTCAACTCCCAGAGGCAGAACTGTAGCTTTAAAAAATAATTCTGACTTGAAGAAGGAGGTGACTTGATTTATGAAGATCAAGTACAGTTCCTTGTCTCCTGACCTTAGAATCACTAATCTCTTTTCTAAGCTTTGGATGTCCATGGACTTCTCTGTTACAGAAACAACCCCTTTTTTGTGGGAAGGAGTGTTTGGGTCAGACAGGGTGTTTCAGTATCATCATAAATCTGATCTTATGGGAAAGACAGAGGAAGTGGGTGTGTTGGGGGGAAACTCAAACTTGTCACCCTTTCTGATGCTGTTGATGAGAGAATGTTTTTATTAAGTGGCTTGGTTTCTTAGAAGTTCATATTTAGATTTTCAGGGCTCAGTTAAAATACATGCTCATTGTGCAATTGATGTATTTTGAAAATGCCTTTCTTCCATCTCTGTTCAAATACATAAAACCAGAATTTGGACCTATATGTGAAGATCATTTGCATATTGATAGATCAGGACTCACTGTATCAAACGAGTTCCTTATTATCCAGGTTAGCAGTTGGTATCCAATAGACTTTTCCTCAGGACATAGCTAACAAATAGGCCAATTGCTGGCGTAGATACAGACCACTCATTTTATGTTGGTACCATGTGTAAACACCAGCCGTTTTCATCACGGTAGTATTCCAAGTGCCCTGCTGCAAATTTTTCATGTGTAGTGAATTGTGGGACCAATATTAACATTCAGTTCTCTTTATATTTCAGTATGAGCACAAGCTTCTAGAGATACAGAACATGATGAACGCTATTTTCAAGGGGACATTTCTAAACCGTTACCGGTAAGAGTAAAAATAAAGCTGTGATGTGTATCTTCATTCCCAAGAAACTCTTGCTCAGATTATACAGATAGGAGAATCAAGTTAAACATCCTAGAGGCACTGATGGTGTCAAGGAAAGTGTAGCAGTTAAATTAATTTAAAGAATTTGGGCTTATGAAAAGACCTCTTGAGTATGCTTCTTCAGTTCTTCCTGCTGGCTATAGAGCAGTGCATTTGTGATTGAGAAGATATCAGGAATTGCAAAATAATTATTGCATGAGACTTTGTGGCTAAAAGTGGTCTAAGTATTGATTGAAGACTAACTTATTAATATGAAAATACTTGTAATATTTTGAATAATACATGCTTTTTGCAATTCCAGAACATAAAAATATTGCAAATAATATAATTGATTTTTAAATTGATTTTTAATGTATTAATATTATGATTTTATAATTTCACAGTGATGTGATCCCTGAGATCCGAGCGACTTGCATTGAAGAAATTGGCAGCTGGATTAAAACATACCCAGATGCTTTTTTAAATGATAGCTATTTAAAATATGTTGGATGGATGCTGTATGATAAGGTAAAGTTTTAAAGTTTTTCTTACTGGGGGTAGCACAGGGGATTTTTAAAAAATTTTTTTTGAAGAATCCTAACATTTAAATTCTTCAGAGTAGATATTTAAAACTGTAGTGGTACAAAAAAGAAATTACTTTCTTCCCCATTTCAGGTTTTATTTTCAAAGCCATTGTAACACTAAATAACAGAGAATATTTTTTCCAGTTCTGTGTGTATCCCTCTGTGTGCAATTATTTTTATATGTTACTGAATGGGGAATTATTTCTGATTGTAAATTGGCCTCTATCCGTTGAGCACAGGTTAAATGTTGATTGAAATTCTGCTTTTATGCTTGATGGACATTTAAAATTTTGTTTAAATTTATAAAAATGAACAAATAGATATTGTCTATAGTAAATAGTCTTCAATATTGCATTTCTCATTTGGAATTAGATGGATATAGAAAATATTTACAGAAAGTCCAGCCATGTCCCAAAGAGTTGTCTCCTTTTCCTTATGGTATATTTGTTTTTTCTTTTTGAGTAGGGGCACATTTAAAACCCCCCCAAAACCTACCAAAACAAACAACCCAAAACCCCAAAAGAAGTCAGTAACTCCAAAATGCCAAGCAATAGGACAAGAAACGATGGACAGAAACTGATGCACAGAAAGTTCCACCTGAACACGAGGAACAATTTCTTTACTGTGTACGTGACTGCGCACCGTGTCCGGTTCTGGGCCCCTCAGTTCAGAAAAGATATTGAGGTGCTGGAGCAGATCCAGAGAAGAGCAACAAGGCTGGTGAAGGGACTCAAGCACAAGTCCTGTGAGGAGAGGCTGAGGGAGCTGGGGTTGTTTAGCCTGGAGAAGAGGAGGCTCAGGGGAGACCTCATCACTCTCTACAACTCCCTGAAAGGAGGTTGTAGCCAGGTGGGGGTTGGTCTCTCCTCCCAGGCAGCTATGAGGAAGACAAGAGGGCGGTATGGTCTTAAGCTCTGCCAGGGGAGGTTTAGGTTGGATATTAGGAAGGAATTTTTTACAGAGAGAGTAATCCGACATTGGAATGGGATGCCCAGGGAGGTGGTGGATTCTCCGTCCCTGGAGGTTTTTAAGATGAGACTGGATGTGGCACTTAGTGCCATGGTCTGGTAACCACGGCAGTGTTGGATCAAGGGTTGGACTTGATTATCTCGGAGGTCTTTTCCAACCTGGTTGATTCTATGATTCTGTGACTGGAACGGGTTGCCCAGAGAGGTTGTGGAGTCTCCCTCACTGGAGATATGCAAGAACCGTCTGGATGCAATCCTGTGCAATGTGCTCCAGGATGACCCTGCGTGAGCAGGAGATTGGACCAGATGAGGTCCCTTCCAACCTGACCCATTCTGTGATTCTGTGAAAATATGCTTTTTCTTGTGCTTCGAAAATGATGAGAGATTTTAGGAGGATAGGAATGTTTATCAAAAATGGCTAATTACAGAAATTGGCACACTGTGCTTCTGCAGGCCACCTTTGAAGGTGTATATAGCTCCTGTGTACATCCTGAAACATCCTGGTATTTGTGCCAGCTTTGGGCAATGTTTGTGTTCTGTGAGTGAAGTTGTAGTTTGCCGCCAAGGCCAGGAGGGGTCGCACGAGGCCTCTTGCTTCCCTGCATCGTGCCGTTCCTCTAAAGGCGGCATTTGGGTTTTTAGGACAACAAATCTATCAAGGACTCTTGGGTTTTTCCTGCGTAAATTTTATCTGATCAGAATATCTTTTTAGTGTATGTTCAGTTTGGAGAATTCTCAAAATAAAGTCATTTTTGAAGATGACGTGTCTTCATTCTCAGTACTGTACAGTGAAAATTAACAGCTGTTGTCTCTGATTAATGCACGTAGTTCATCCAGTGCCATTTACTGGGAACTGGAAATGTTTTTTTTTCCTAAAGCTTTTTATCTGAAAGCAAAGCAGATGCAATAAGAGTGAGATAAAGTGGGGAGTCTTCCATATATTACATTTACCTGAGACCTGGTAGTGTGCCACTACTGGTGGCTGCAATTCTGGCAGTGCTTTGTGATTTGCAGCCACTGTCAAATTGCCTGATTTCAAAAGGAGAGCAGGGCATTTTTGGCATCAGCAGGGGCAGCAGTGCTTTTATATACGTATGTATGTAATTTCCCACTACTTCTCCTTAATAAGCATTTCTGTCCCATCTTGCTGGGGGTGGGCAGCAAGAAACTGCTAATTCCCAGAGCCAATTTTCTTTTAGTATATATCACAGAGAAGTTTGCCAAATAATTTAGGTCCCAGAGTGGAACAACCACGGAAGTATTCTAAGGATGGGGGAAAACCTGGCCAGGATCATCTACAGTGCTGTAAACAGAGATTAAGTTCAGTTATTTGTGAGGCTTTAAAGGGGAGAGAGGAGGGGGAAGTAAGTATAAAATTAACATTTTTGTCTCCAGAGTCTTTTATTTGAAGATGATCAATGTTTCTTCCCCATGAGATACCATTTTGCCATTATAATTTGATATGAAACATTATATTTTTACGTGAAAGGTTATTTTCTAGATGCAAGAAGATTCTTCAAAATCAGAGATAAGATGCTCAAAATTGTATGTGAAAAGCTCTCTTTGCCCCAATAAGAGTTGTGGAACAGCATTATAAAGATATGCTTTCAAGTAGTTTATATTCATCTGCCAGAAATAATTTAACTTTTTATTTTTGAAGACCAGGGAGCAGCTGATAATAAATCTGATAGTTGTTTGCCCAGTCACCTGCATTTGTGAAACCTAGGCCCTTGCCTTGTAGTCAAAGGCTCTACTGTTCTTCCAAGGGAATATGTAGTACCTAAATCAGCATCTAGATCCAATTAAACCCATGCTGATTTGAGCAGCAGGTGTTGAAGGGAAGTGCTATGTAAAAAGTTCTGAGTTAAAGATAGAAAAATCAAGACAATGAAGAATAAGGATGGGAAAAGGAATCAGGAAGGCAGAGAGGATGGAGATTAACACTTGGGATCTCCTACCATGTTAGACTAACTTTATCTGGAACTTCAGGGCAAGTTGTTGAGGTTTTCTCATTAGACTGTGAAAAACACTCAAAGAAATCCCATGGAAACAGGAACTTCCTGCTGAAACGGACTTCTGTGTCTTGACTATGGGATCCTCCTGGCAAATTTCAGGAAATTGAAAGCATTTTTAGTTTTGCCTTCTGTCCAACATGGCTGTAGAAACTGATCCCATGGTTCTGGCTACTTCTGAAAGACTTATTTCTTCAAATGGTTTTCTGCTCATGTCTTTGTGCATATGTGTGGATTTTTTTTTTGTGGGGAGGGCAATTTTTTTAAATTGTTTTATTCAAAGGACAGGTGGATAGTCTTTGCTATTGAGGAATAATTCAGAAGTGGATCTCCCCAGTTTATAACCTGGGGTGTGTTGAGGAGTAAAAAATGACTCAATGACTCTCTCAAACCATCCAACTCCCAGCCTGTATTTGTAAGGTTTATTGAGTGGCCCCATCTCTGTGATAGTGGTGGGGCTGAAATCTCATAACTGAATGTGTCTAAGCAGTGCTGGAGCCCATGCAGAGCTCTCTGAGGTCAGAGCTGCCCACCACTTTGCTGCTGTTTTCTGCCAGTCTGTTTGCAGGTCAGGGTCGAAATATGCTGTGGTACAGCTGAGGGACAGTGTGTGTGTTCAGAGTATCCTGAAAATGTGCTTACATAATTCGCCTTCACTCTGTCACATCTTTGAAAGACTGAACAGGCAGGTATTTTGGCAAGGTTAAATGGTAGGTCTGGCAAGGAGATAAGGTGGCTGGGTGTTTGTGTTTGCTAATATTAGTGCTGAAAGGAGCTGAAGATAAGTAGTGAAATAGTTAATTCAAAATTGATCATTCAGAATTACTTCACATCCTTCTAAAACTGTGAGGAATGTTGAATCTGGAAAAGGGGAAGTGGTTGAGAAGGAGAAAATGTAGATGAAAAACATAGGAAAATAGCAGAGGTAGTCAGAGTAGAAGTAGTTATGTGTTTCTAGTTACTAGAGTTAATTTTCTCAACACTTAAAAGAAACATACACATAAAGGGTTATGACTGAGAGCTTTCAGGTGGGAACAGGTATCTTAGAAGGGAGATGGTATACTTTAATGTATTAAACTTTATATCTGCAGATCCACACTTGAATGCCACCTGACTGACAAATGACATTACTCGCTGCATGCCAAGGGCTATATGACCATTCAGCAAGCCATTGCAGACTTCTTTCCTTTTCTCCAAGCACGAATTCAGTCCCTATTCACAAGCAAAGCCTTGTGGAAAAGAACCGAGTGCAGCTGAAGCCAAGATTGCTGTACATTGGCTGAGCTGAGTTCGTGCCAGTGTGCAGGGACGGGTACCAACTTGGGACTGTTTGTGAGTGAATTCTGTGCTGCGGAGCCCCTGTGGCTGTAGGAAGCAGCAGGTGTGGGCAACGGTCTCTTCCTCAGAGACTTTAAAGTTTAAGTAAAATATAGAATAAGTACTGCTGGTGTATTATGGGCAGATTAAAGAACAGTGTACGTTGTTACCTGTTGATCTTTTGGGTTGTATTTCTAGCAAAAAGCAAAACTGTTTGGCAAACCCTTCTACTGGGTATCATCCTTGGCTTTCCATCTAAGCAGGTGAACAGGAACTTGTAGCAATGGATAGCCTATGTGTAGGTGGTCTCCTTTCTTGGATTTCCTTGATTATTCTTACTGCTATTGTTAGCAAGAGGAATTAAGAAAGAAATATAAAGAAACTGATTCAAAGGCTGCAGTTCATTTAAGTGTCTCTGCTGATATCCTTAGCATTATAATTTTACAGAACACGGTCATTTTTCTGTGTTGGATCTTAAAAATTACTTTCCTAATGCTATTTAAAACTTGGTCATTTGAAAGATGTAGCAATATGCATGAGATAATTTAAAAGCTGGATAAGGAAAAGACTTCTTTTTGAGGTGTCCATGAAGCAACAGTACTAGTAATATGAAATAACACCTTGCATGGATAAATATGTTTAGCCTAAATTAACTAATTAGGCCAAATTCAAAACAACCCTTTTCTTAGAATGCTTAAAATACAGTGTTCTAGTGTAAAACAGAAATAGGGAGAAGGCATAACACAACTCTGTAAGAACCCACAATAACAAGCCAGTGCGTTTCTAGAGCGTGCCTCTTCCTCTGTGAATCCAGAGTAATCCAGAATTTCTTGGAGTCCTCTTCTGTGTCTAACAGTTGTCCAAGTCAACAGTTGAAAGGAAGCAAGCAAAGTCTGATGTATGGGAGAGTGCTGGTTGTATTAAGTAGGTCATCCATACTCTTGTCTTTGTATCTTTAACAGATGAATAGCACAATCCGTGAATCTTTTGCATTCTGTTACTTTTATTAACTGCAAGGTCTGTGAGAGTTTCTTTGACTCTTAGGGAGCCTAACACAAACTTTGATATTACCTTTAAGTTTGGCTCACTGCAGGCTTCCTCTGTGTGTGTGAGAGAGAGACAAGTGTGTATACCACAAACAAGATGGTACTGATATCACTAATAAAGGAGATAAGGCAGCATTTGGATAGCCTGCTGTAGACACCACAAAGAACTCTTATTTACATAATAGAAATGCCAGTAGTGAATAACAAAGATACATGTTTTTTACTCTTAGCCTATTTGTCTTTGTCTTGTAGCAAGCTGAAGTGCGGTTGAAGTGTCTTCTGGGACTGCAGGGAATTTATAGCAGAAAAGAACTTGTTTCCAGGATGGATCTCTTTACTAGCAGATTCAAGGTAAATTACTGTTTGCTGTTTTTTTTAAGTCTAGGTCAGGTGTATACACAAGGTCAAATGTTTTGATCAGAGCTGATCTCCCCACTGTCTTGACTGACAGGAACTGCAGAAACAGCCTGATTGACTGAGTGGATGAAGGGATTTTGCAGGGATGTTTCCCTCTGTTTCTGTGGAATATTCCTTTTCCACTTTAGTTTATGCACAAAATGGTGTTAGCATGCACTGTGGTCAGTTACCTCCACCATTCATCCAGAATGGCCCAAATTTTTTACAGGATCTTTGGCAGATGACAAAGAATTTCATATGCTGAAGGTCCCTTTTTTTGCTGCCCCAGATAATGGGTTAACCTTGTAGATATTGGACTGGCTGTCCATGTATCACACTGATGTGGGAATGGCTCTCTCTTGATCTACCATGTCAGTATGAATCTTGAAGCAGGATCCCTTATCTCCTTTCTGATCAAGTCAGGTGATACACAGTAAGTTTGAGAGTGTTTTGTGGCTGCACTGACACTGTACACTGCCTTTATCATATTCCAACATCCTGACTCATTTAAGAAGTAAGACCTTTACTTTTTTTAATCCTGGCTTGGATTAAATTGGTAATGATTTTGTCAGCTACTTTTATCCCAGTGAGTTTGGGCCTTTTCAGTATTTGAATAAGAAAGCTCAAGATGTGATTGATATTTCAGTCCTTCTGCATCAGTACATAATCAATGCCTGCATGTGGTGCTAATTTGTGTTCTTTTTGCAAAGGTGCAGGGCTTATCTGTATATCTAAGCAGTTGCTAATAGTGAAAAATACCTATAGCACATCCTCAAAGAACAAGAAATAGATTAATATTGCTATCTTAAGAATAAATTATTCAGACTGAAGCTTGTCTATCTAAGATCGACCCCTGATTTAAATGATTATGTGGTAGTCCCTTATCTTTCAGTCTGCTGCAAGCTGCGTAACCACAGGATTGGTATTCAATAAAGACTGATGAAATAGCTCCAGTCTGTCTGTACTGCAAGCTCCCTCTGTGTGGAGGATGCAATGTAAATGGATCATTGCAAACTCCATCCCCCAATCAAAAAAACTCCACCCAAACACAACTCCTTCCCCTCTAAGTGAAAGAAACTCAAACAGCTACAGGCAACATACAAGTTTCAAAGTTTGAATCGTGCTTTCTGAGTGATGGGGAATGCAATCATATAACCATCAATCCATTTCCTGCAAGAGGGAGTTTCACATGTTCCCTCTGTTACCCTTGAGTGTTCAAACTCAGGATTTGTGCATTTAACACACCTTGCAACTGAATTGTGAGAAAAAGGAATGTGCAAAGTAAAATGAATCTAGAGATTTATGTTAAATGAGAAAGCTGTTAGTCCCCAGTCAAGCAAGTCTAAAGGTTTAATATATCTTAAAGATATAGGCCACACTGAGGTGTGCAAGTTCTTGGTTACACGGGACAGGAAAATTTCCAGTTTTCTGAGATGTTTGCATGTGTACCAAGTTACAATAGTGTGCATTTTGGAGGTCAGGAATATTGCTGCTATTCCAGGAGGTGCCTTTATGACTTAAGTCCTAATTATCTTTCCAGCAAGGCACTGGCTTCTGTAATGTGTAGGTACAGGCACTTCACTGTTGATGGGAGAAACTGATTTTATAATGCTTGTAATTTGAAGCTTACCTTCATTTAACATGCTGAAGTGCCAATAGTAACATCTTAGAAACAAGTTGTCAGTCACTTTTAATTTGTAGACTGTAGTTGATTTCTTGTGAATGCATACATTACATCTATAAAAAATATCATATTACTGCATGATTAATTCAGTTAAAAAATTAACATGCTGTTAATTTTCAGGGGCTGGGGAACTACTTGGTAGTAATCAAGTTGCCTTATGTCTCTTAGGAAATAGCTGCCGAAATAAAGATAAATCTCTGCTGTACTAGCGTAGATGATCTAGCTGTAGCAACAATACGTGTTTATTGAGAACAAACCATGTTACATCTTTTTATTGTCATTTTACATCCATTAGGATCGAATTGTGTCCATGCCTCTGGACAAGGACCATGAAGTAGCAGTTCAAGCCATGAAACTCTTGATGCTTATGTCACAGTAAATAATTTCTTTTTTAATTTACTGTATTGTTTTAATGGCAACAAGATGTAGATACAATCCTGATGAGTCTTCCTGTAATCAGTTACCTGTTGGGAAACAGTTGCTCCTGGCAGGATATGAGTTACAGATAAGGTCCCCAAGATGTGGCATTTTCTTTCTGTGGGAAATACCATTGTTAAGAAAACCCCTGTGCTGAGATTCAATCTGAAAACTACATTTTTATGTCTTTATGCTTCGTCTTGAAAGGAAATGCCACATTTTCATTTTGACTTTTCTCAAATAGAGCATTTGCCTCTCTTGGAGGAAGTTCCCCCTGAATATGGAGTCCCCACCCCATCTTCTGTCCTAGGGTTGTCAGGCCTTGACCAGAAGCTCGGAGAACTCTGCCAGCTTCCCTGTCTCTGCACCTAATGCAGGAGGCCTTGAGCTTTGAGGCTGTTGATAGAATTTGGACTTTCAGATTCTTGACTCCATGGCAGAGAATCTGGAGCCATTGAGCCCACAGCAGACTGACCAGCAAGAAATGATGAAGTGTATGATATTTTGGTTTTGCTGAAGTTAAAAACTAACAGAAAAGTTGTTTTCTTGGGAAATCTACCTCCCAGCCATAGATTTGGTAGGATAATGGCAAGCTGGAAGTGTGGGGAAAAATTAGACTTACTCTTACAGAAGTATAAGAATCTTATTCTGATATATCCTTGAGCAGCATGTTTATTTTAGACATGGTTTTATTTGCAAAACATGTGGAGAATAAATTCTCTGTCCCTCTTTTTCAAAGCAAAATGTGAATAAAACCCTCACTCCCATTTCATTGGTAATACAGTTGAGATGTTGGAAGTCAGTGTCTTTTCTGTCTCTGAGTGTAAGTTGGATTCAGCTGATGCAGATGCTTAACTTCCATGTACAGCATGACACATTGTCCATTAGCCTTGTGGGATTTGCTTCTCCATTTAAGACAGAAGCATTAGTCATTGATAGCTCAGCACGTAAACCTTAATGGACCAATTAATATGGTCTTGCAGGTATTTACATTAAATTCCAAGTACATTTGTATGTTGAAGTGCTGCTTTATAGTCTACTAGTTTGAGTGGCATTTCTCCAGTCCCCCTTCAACAGGCACATCAGAGCAGCATATGATGCTGTGAACACAATACGCTTTTCTGAAGGTAGGACCGTTGTTTGGGCCTCACTGGTAGTAGCTGTGGTTACATTGTTTCTGTGTTCACAGTGTCCATTTTTACATCCCTTGGTTCCCTGTGGGTGCTGTTGGAACAAAGCACAATGCTGTGTCCATGTGTAATGTGTCCCTGTGCTAGGAAGAGCAACTCACCATTGTTGAAGTACAAAGATTCCAAACACCACTTAGGGCTGCTCTTGTTCTGTATCTGAAATAACAAGAGCTATATTGGCACTGCAGCTGTTTATCATCTCTGGCTTTATTATAAGAGATCATATTCTCATTAATGCAAGCTGCAGCTATAAAAGTTTGATCAATGTTTCTTTTTCCCTGAAGCTCTTTTTTCCTAATTTTGCTTAAATATGATTTTCAGTGTGAATAAATGCCTTCTAAAGTTTTCTGAATGACATTTTTCCATCATAAAATGTAGTTTTCCTAAGTAAAATTAATATATTTTGAAATAGTTTTTAATTAGGCTGTATAGAGGCCTAGCAAATACATTCTTTTCTTTCTTTTTGCTCATCTGTTGCATAACCATCCTTCTGTCTTCCACTGTACCCCCCAGTTACTCTGAGCCCTGCTGATTTGGCTTAATTATTGGAGTGATGGAAGTAGGAACTGGGGGCTCAGTAAGCAAATTCAATGACAGCTCTTCTCTTTGACAAGACTTGTACTGACCAGTCTGTAAAACCGGTGTGAAGAGAATGCAGACAATATAGACAGTCACATGTAGAGGCTTCTTAATAAGAGCCTGCATCAAGATGCTTTTCTATCAGGGGAAAACTGATGCCTTAGTTCCTACAACAGTGGCAGAAAGGACTTGCTACTGGCATTGCAGAAGCAAAGACATTCAGAGCTATTGTGTTTCAAATAGGTGTGTCTCATAGCTCAAACCCAGTATCTGGATATTGAGCAGTAATGCTGCTTGATACATGCAGTAAAGCATGAAATGGGGTTGGGGACAGCAACTCCCCTGCCTTAGAAGGGACAATAGAATAATAAATGACAGCTTGTATAAATGGCATGTCTACTAGTATGCATTGATGTAATTAAATTTTTTGCCATTTCTGTCATGCTGTATTGGCTTCTCTTGTGAATGACTCATCTGCAAATTTGGCAACTGTATTCTAGTGGCCCAACTTGCATTTTCAATGAGATGTGAGAGACCTTTCAGATCAAGTTTCTATTTTTAAAGCTACTGGCAAAAATCTCTACCTGATAAATTCCCTATATTCGATTTGGAATCGTTAAAAAAAAAAAGATTGGAACCATTTAAAAAAAGTAATATAATGTTAACTGGTCAGGTACTAACCTCTAGAACATGTCTCTAATCTTGGAATAAATATTTTGTTGTTTTATGACGGGAATTGGCAAGAAACAAGGCCAGAAATAGCTTTTTCCCCCTATTAGTCCACTGGGTACTTTTTCTTGGGGAAAATTTACTGTGTCAGTAACTTGCTTTTACTGGCTTCCATAATTGTCTTTTGGGTGAATATAGTAGCAAGACCTCATCACCAATTAACTGTTTTAAGATGTTTCACAATTGCAGCAGAGTTGTGCTCCATGTATGTTGGTAGCAGGTTTGAGCATCTCTTAACCATCACTTCATTCCAGTCCTGTGGAATATACTTTGACTACTCTGTGTACTACTGGCCCATAAAATTACTATGCTGGCCTTTATATTCTCTCTTGCTAGCTACAGAGGCAGTGGAAACACCGATCTTTTCAACTCACTTATATGTATTACATTATTAAAAAATATTCCCAGCGCTGATTCAAAACCCTCTTGCTATGCATAAACTTGTTTTTTTTTTTTCAAATCCATATTTGTATTTTCTTCTTGTCTGTCTTTGTGAGCTGAGATTTTTTTTTCTTCTTGTTTGTTGCATGTTGTTTCAATTGAATGCCATGTCTTTGGACTAGTAGATTTCTGGGTTTTTTTTGGGCTAGAGGATTTCTGTATTTACAAAGCATGATGCGATCCCAAAACTGAAATGAACATATGAGGTTTAGCATAATAGAAATTATTAATGGTACTGAATTATGCATAATTGTTAGCATTAATGTTGCAAAGAATCTGACAGGGAATAGAACTAGAAAGGAAATAAAGAGGGAGAAAATATGAGTGACAGTGAGAGACCATGGAATGTTACTGAAAACATTGCCTTTTAGGAGGCAAATTAGATTAGTGTGTCTACTGCTAGACAATTCTGTTAATTTTTGTGTGCTTAATTACCTAAAAGAGTAGAGGGATTTTGGAAAAGAGCAGCAAAAGTAATTAGGTAGATGTATGGGGGAAGGTTACAAGTGGTACGGGTAGGAGCACAAATCTACAATTAGCTTGAATATGTAAATAGCATAGGGGAAAATGACTTTGTATTACATTAGTTAAATGTAACTAGAAATTAAACTGAGGTTTAAATGCAAAACACATCGGTCTGTCACAGCATAATCGCAGTATATTGCAACAGGCTAATCCTATTGTAAAGTGATGGGAAAGGACTACTGTTATATTGTAGTAGCAACCATGTTATCGCTTTGCTGATCACCAAAGTGTGTCCTGAAATACCTGCAATGACAGCAGGGGAGTGAGAATGAGATAACAGAACAAATCAGCCAATTTTTCTACTTAAAATTTTGTTGCAGACATTAGAACAGCTTCAACATGTATTTTTTGGTTGATAGTGCTCAGTGCACAAATACTGTTTTTACAATTGTCAGATTTGGATATTTAACTTGACTTAATTTTAAATGCAAAATGAACTGATTCTTTTGTGATTGAGATGCTATACCTGGGATTGCCAGTGTCCCCATAATGTGTACCAGATCTTTCCCTGCACAGCTTTTAAAAACAAAGAGTAGGGTGGCAAAACTCTGAAAAGTGCATCAGGTGTGTTTTTATTTTACTGTTGTGATTTTAATGGTTTTTCTTGATAGAAGCGACAGTGCTGCCCAAGTCAGGAAACTCCAGCAGTCATGCCTCTTGCAAAATGAAACAAAAAGCAGCAGATACAAAATCTTTCAGCTAGTACCATATGCAGAACAAAAGCAGGCTGTGATCTCCCTCTAGAGTATCCCAACTTCTTCTTTGTGACATGGTCGTGCTGAAGTGCAGAAAAAATGGTATGTCATGACATTGGTATGTGGAAGGCCATGCCTGTTTATTTTTAGGCACCTAAACACTTGCAGGAACTTCTGGCTTAACCTTTATATGCTGCTTGGCCTTCTGAGGGCTGTAAATTTGCAGCAGTGTTATTGCTGTATTTGAAGTATTCTTTGAACAGCTTATGTATGTAAGAAAGAAAGGCACTCATTTACTGTGGTAGCATTAGTGCGGGTGGTGGCAGATGTGGTCGAGTGCCACTACTTCCAGAGACTAGTAAAATGCCTAAGCACTCATTTGTATGGAAGTTATGAATATAAACCTCATTGTATCACAGAGAGTAGTGATTGAACAGTATGTGAAAAGTAGTAGTACACACAGGTATTCCTTCCCATTCAAGAAACAAAAAGAGAAAAGGTGCTCAAGTGGTGTCATGAGTGTCTGTCAGTGCTGCAAAGAAAATGGATTCTTCTCCCCACCTTTGCTTCTGTTCCATTAGGGGTTGCTTCCTTTGCAGCCAGAACTATTGCATTTGACCTACACGTCTTGAGGAAATAACACTACTGTAGACTAATGTAAATGGGACAAATTCTTAACCTCTTAGAAGACAAAGTCAAAACCAAGGAGGTTGGGATTTCAGAAGTCACAGAATGGCTGAAGTTAGAAGGGTCATCTGGTCCAAACTCCTACTCAGGCAGGGCCACCAGGAGCATATTGCTCATGGCTACATCCAGATGGCTTTTGAGTATCTCTGGCAGTGATGACTCCACAACCTCCCTGGGCAGCCTGTGCCTGCCAGTGCTCTGTCACCTTCACAATAAAAACATGTTTCCTGATGTTCAGAGGGAGCCTCCTGTGTTTCAGTTTGTGCCTGTTGCTTCTGGTCCTGGGCACCACTGAGCAGAGCCTGGCTCCATCTTCTTTACTCCCTCCATCAGATATTTACACATATTGATAAAATCCACCTGAGCCTTCTTTTCTGAAACCTAAACAGTCTCAGGTCCCTCAGCCTTTCCTCATAGGAGAGATGTTCCAATCCCTTGATCATCTTTGTGGCCCTTCATTGGTCTCTCTTCAGTATGTCTCTTTTGCTGGGGAGCCCAGCACTGAACCTGGCACTCCAGGTGTGGCCTCACCAGTGCTGAGGGTAAGGATCATGTCCCCAGACCTGCTGGTAACACTCTTAATGCAGGCTAGGATACCATTCACCTGCTTTTCATCAAGAGCACATTGGTGGCTCATGTTCAACTTGGTGTCCACCAGGACTTCCAGGTCCTTTCCTAAGGATAGAAAATTTCTGTGGAAAGGCAGTTACATTAGTACTGTAAAGGCAGAGTCCTCAATTTCTACCCAGAGAGATGGCAGGCACATTGCTGAACTCTTTGAGCTATCTGAACAATTTAAGCAAAGAATTCTTTTAAAATAGAGACATTCAAGTATTGCATTCACTGTTTCCATAAATGTGCTAAGAAGAGAAAACCTGAAATATAAAGAATATAAAAATTCAAATATAAAAAATGTGTACATTTGTCTGGCATGTTCATACAGGAAATTCCATTTAAGCATAGGGAAGAAGTTTTTCATTGTGGCAGTGGTCCGATATTGAATCAAGTTGCCAGAGATGTGGAGTCTCTGACTTCGTAGATATTCAAAACCCGATTGGATACAACCCTCATCAGCTTGCTCTGGCTGAACCTCTTCTGAGCAGGGGGTTGGACTAGGTGATCTGTAGAGGTGCTGTCTGTCCTCAGCTGTTCTGTGATTCTGTGTTAGCTCAATCTAGATTGCAGTGTATTTGTATAGAAATTTCTTCTTTTCCAAGCTAGCCACAGTTTTTAAAAAAAAATATTGTGAGAAAATGGCAAAGACATCCTCATGGAAATCAGTGCTTTAAAAGAATTAAATAATAGATTGACATTGAAAAGAACGAAAGAAACGTTGTCAGACTGCTGGTTTATTTCTGTAAATTCCCCATAGTCTTTTAATATAAAGACTTGATATATAATGTATTTTTATTCCTGTAAGTGCTCTTTGTTGTCATTCTTTGTTTTACTGTCACTTGTTAAACTTGTAGAAGTTTAATACATTTGATCATTCATAGGTTCACAGGACACACCAATGCTTATTCATATATTCTAATGCACCATTTTACCTCTTTCAATTTCTTACTGTTTAACATTAATAAACACATTTTTTACTCATTTCCCCAGTTTTGTAGATGGTTGAATGAGTAGCATAAATATTTTCCTTTATGTGATTTCATGAAACGTGTACTCAGAGCACTTTCTATATGTCCTATTACTGCAAATATATGCTGAAGGGAATTTCATGTTCAAGGAGTCCACCAAAACCTGCCTGAAGTACGTAAGGGAGCTTTTCTTTTTGGTTGAGGGCAAGCATTATCCTGTAATATTGATCCATCAGTTCTGGAGACATACCATTAGCACTTTTATTTGAAGACCTTTTTAATGGGTGCTCCAGTGATACTCTCACCTAATGTGAGCTCACGTTTTTTTCGGTCAGGTTGAAGGATGTTTTGGGGCTTTATGACTTGTAAGGATGCTAAGGGATGTAATGGGTTGAAGACAAATGGGAGAGTGTAGGAAGGACTGCTGATTGTTTTTAGACATCAATCCTAGCAAATGAAGAGCATGAATCCTCAGTTGTAAAGGGGGGTATTGGACCACAGGTGGAGTTGGTTTTGAACTGTTACTACTTGAGAATTGAATGCAGTGATAAATAAACCCCCTTTCCTCTCACCTGGGTGTAGTAAGTGTAAGGATCTCATGTTGCTCTTTCATTCTCTGAAGTAGCTTAATCCAATGACATTACTGTGGCTGTAAAAGCAGATACTTTGAAACTGTAATCCTTGCTTTGGGCTTCACTCCTCTGGTATCTCTTTGTCAGGTTATTCAGCCTTGATGCTTCAGTTTCTTTTTTTGTAAAAGTTTGAAATTAATACCTTTCCTACCTCATAGAGTGTTCTAGGTTTACTAGTTGGCACGTAGTGTTCTCAAGATGTGTAGCTGAATGAAAGAATTTGTGACGTTTGAGTGTTTGTGTTTGCGCAGAGAGGTCACAGTCATAAGCATACTCTCAAGAATGTTTTGATTTTTTTTACATGTGTCTCTGTACAAGCCTAATGTAATAGAATATAGGTTTTAAAATACTGTAATAATAATTTAAAAATAATTTGTACTGCTAAATGAAGGCTTTGTATTTTTTCTTATTTTCTATGGTGAACATCTGAGCACAAAGGCATGATTTTCCTGTTTTATTACTATTGCTCTTTTTACTGTGACCCTTGATCAACTGTAATTATGCTTTAAATTAATGTTCCTGTCCATGCAGTGGGCCTGATTTGTCATGGCTTGCACAGACCTCTGTTTCTATACACAGTGAGTAAAAGAAAGCTGCCAATTTTGTTTGAGAGCATTTTTAGAAATGCCCTACAAAAACGTAGCATTGTAAACAAGTGACATGGCTATGGAGAATCAGGTCTAGTAAAAGCTGGACGTAGCATTCATACTATTCTTTGCAGATAAACCTGAACTATAACTTCCGTTGTTATTTTTACCTAGGAACTGTGAGGATGTGTTATCAGCTGAAGACTGTGAAATGTTATACCAGTTTGTTTATACCACACACCGTCCACTTGCAGTAGCAGCTGGGGAATTCCTTTATAAAAGGTATCTCTGCCTGCCTACTTCTTGCATGTTCTCATTTGTTTCGGAATTAAGGTGGATTTATTTAAGGGGGACATTAAGCATTCATTTTACTGCTGAAAGTGCTGAATCAGAAGAAGAAAGCTGTCTGGGGGTAACTGCATGTTTCCATGCACAGCCCTGGCACAATAGCATGAGAAAAGCAGCAAGACTAACACGGAGAATATGAAACTACTAACTGATCCACAAATGCCATACTATGTTGAGAGCATGCCCTCTTTCTTTCCACTTTCTTTTCTTGTTGCTTTGCTTCTTACAAGCTAATCTGTCACCTGGCATCTGTGGTTTTCCACAGCTTTGGTGATTAATCACAAAAATGGCCTCCTCCCTTTGGAAGTTGCCTTAAACTTTGAATAATGAGAGAGGCAGCAGATTAAAAAGCCCTCCCAATTTTCTGTCAGGTTAATGAAGTACAGGGTTTATCTTCCCCAGGAGTAACTCTTATAAATGGGCAACAATGGTTGCATGAAATGAATGGAGTTGGTGAGCTAAAAGAGAAGAGATAAATATTCTGACTCTACAGCTGAGAGAAATAATTTTGCCTTACAAAAAGGATTTAAAAAAAATATTTTGGCAAGAATTTTGTGGGGAAAAATTCAGAAATAATAATTGTGTTTCCACACATGCATAATCCCCTCCTAGTTGTCTTTTCCTATCTAGCCGAATTGTTGACATTCTTGAGTTTGTGGAGCCAAGTCCAGCAGAAAGACAAATGGAGATAAATTTCTGTTTTGACAAGTCTGCTCTCACATCTGCTAGACTTAGTCTTTTGTGTTGGTCCTAATATTCTCTCATAAATCAGGTGTTTTTCATCTTAGAACTCTGCTGCTTTTTATCATCAAAGTGATTTGCGCTAATAACTTTACTTTTTCTTCTCAGCTGGCCAGTGCAGTTTGGTCACCTTGACCCTGTAAACCTCATCCTTGTGTTTGTTTGCCCAGTTCTTCTCTCCAGCACTTCTACCAGTATAGAAATGTTCATTCTAGTGTCCTAGAGATGTTAGTGACACTCTCCTTTCCCCTGGTCATACTGTTAAAAGTTTTAGTGTAAATGCTTACGCTTTCCACCCCCACTGCCCCTACTTCTTGGTTTGCACAAAATCTCCTCAATGTCTGCATATTTTAACTTAGGTTACTTAGTTGGCATAAATTATACCAGCAGAAGCACTTCCTGAAAGTATAAGCTTTTACTGATGTTTAATAATGTGGTCCAGCTCTTAAATCCAAGACTTTTGGGCCTTGCAGTAACCTGGGGGGATGGCTTTCCTGTAGTTATTTTGAGATTAGCACTTTTCACGAGCAGTACAGTCACAGCCATTGTGGAGAAAGGGGAAAATGGAAATTGAAGTGTCATACTGTGCTTCATACTGCAGACAGAAAAGGAAGAACAGATTTTCCACTGTATTTATGAAGCTAATTGCCTCTTATAAATACAAGATACTGTGCTTTCTTTAAGAAGGTGCAGTTCCAAGATGTACTGTGATGTGAATAATGGCTGTATAGTAATATCTCATCTCTGTTGCTAAGGTTTAAATTTGGCCTGGAGCAAACCCCTTTGCAAGCATGAGCAAATGCCTACCTTGTTATATGATCAGTTCTGTGGAATCTGCATCTATTGTCCAGAAAGCTGGCAGGGTACCTGTGAAATTATCAGAAATAGTCTCTGCATCACAAGGGTAGCAGATCTCTCATAATGGAAAACTATCAACTCTCTTTTCCTTTCATCTGGTAAAAAAGTCTAATATTATTTGGGGTAAATAAGTAGACACTTAGGAGGAATACAGTTTGTGGGATCTTGACAGAATCAGTGTTACATGAGTATACTCCAAATGAGTATAAGGAGAATGTGGCAGAACTGGACTAACTTCCTTTTCTGTTGGCAGGCTGCTTATTTCTGAGGGAGATGAAGTTCAACCCAAAGGAGGAAGAGAGTTTGGGGCAAGTACTGACCAGTTGAAAAGATTAATACACTTTTTCCTGGAGAGTGAGGTGAGGAGAATAGACCCTGCAGTAAGCATTTGAAATCCAGCATTGCATATTAAATTAAGTATTGGCTTCCTTTTGAAAGCAATTTCTGGTGGTGAGCTCTGAAATGTTTGGTGTTTGGAATGTTTTTGCTCTCTAGGTTAAGTTTTTAATTAAGACATTTCTGTTCTGTATTAAAACTAATTTACAACTATGCTAATGGAGAGAATCAGTGCTGAAGCAGTTTCTGAAAACAATCTGAAAGACCAATGCCACTGAGTGAGGGTTTTTTGATCTGTGTCCATGTCTTTCTGCAGGTGTGTATGCCTTATTGTACTGTGGCTTCATGCTCCATTATCAGCTTATGTGCTGTACTTCACTATTTAGCTTTTGCAGTGGTGCAGGCCTGTGTCTGGCCAAAGTGTCTCAGGCACAGCAGTTTTGAATCTTTCTGCAAAGAATTTAATCAATAACTCGTTTCTAGTCCTATGACTGGGTTTTTAGGTGTTATGATCAGCAATATAAGAGCAATACAGAAGTTAGTTTTAAGGAGATTATTTAAGTTACAAAGGAAAGGTATCCTAGAAAGAGAAAATATTTTTCCTGCTTTTCCTGCTTTTTTTTCCCCCACTTTCCTTCTTTGTATCAGATTGAAGACATGTTTAAATATTGATTAGCCTCAAACAAAATATGTTAGAATAGTCTGTGTGAATATATGTGTGAATGACGAAGCTTTGTCATTGGAAAAAGGGAGAGGAACATATGAAACTGTATTTCTTTTGTTGATGTGTTTACTTCTGTAAGCTTATGTTTTTAATCCCTAGCTACACAAACACGTTGCATACCTTATAGACAGCTTATGGGACTGGGCAGGCAAATTTCTGAAGGACTGGGAGTGCATGACAACTCTTCTATTAAAAAATGCTGAAGAAGATGGAGAAGGTGGGTAAGCAGAGAGCTTTGTTGTTTCTGAATGAATCTCTCCATACTGTTTTTTGAACCTTGCCTTAGCTAGTTTAGGATCATTTCATATTGCTGTACCATTTGATCCCAAATTGTGGTCCCCAAGTGTCACAAAAGCAGATGCAACTCAATGCACTGCCAATGTAATATTTATATCACCACATTTGTTTTATTCAGTATTCTGTATTTATGTAATGTTAGTTTAGAAACAATTGCTCAGATAAATGAGTAGGCTGCTGCTTCATCTTAATTTTTATTTTCTGTGATGCTGAGACTGATTTACTTACAGCACTGAGCGATGCCGAGGAAAGTGCTCTCATTGAAATTATCCTTGCAACGGTTAGAGAAGCAGCTGAAGGTCATCCTCCAGTGGGCAGAGGTGCAGCCAAAAAAGTCAGTGCATCTTAGTCTTATTTATTCTCCTGTAATCACATTCTCTTTGCCTTATGATCTTTGCCAGATAGCATGTTTCTAGTTGGAGATGCATCTTAGGAAATAAAATGGCATATTTTTGTGAAATGACGCAGTGTCTTTTGACCTCTAGATCTTATTAGAAGTGGATGTTGAAGGACATGAGCATTAGAGGAAAGCCACTTGAAGCTTGTTATTAACAAATGATGAGCATTTTATCCATGAGATATAGCTGTACAACGATTTGCATCTATTTTAAGGTTAACAAAGAAAAAAATAAAGCATCTGGTTTTCTCCATGGAAAAGTATCTTTATCTTAGCTTGATATTCTTGAGACAATGCCATATGAGTTAACCTTGGGTTACATGTAAAATTCTACTCAAATCTCAGAGATTTTGCAATTGAAACAAAATGGTTTATTTGCAGATTCTGTCAGTAAAAGAGAAGAAAATACAATTGGAAGATTGTACCAAAATTACTGAACACTTTATTATGGTGCTTCCTCAGCTCTTGGCAAAGGTAACTAACAGCTGCTCTGTGAATGCATGTTAAATATTTCATTAAAATTCCTGCAGTATACTCATATCCTGTTTTTTTCTCTGCAGTATTCAACAGATGCACAAAAAGTGGCAAATCTTCTGCAGATTCCTCAGTATTATGATTTAGATGTTTACAATACAGGACATCAAGAGAAGGTGAATAGCAATTGGGGTAATTGGTTCACGTGGAATGTACTAAATTTATGTGACAATGTCGAGAGTTTGGTGGGATTCGGAACAAGTAGGAGATGGTGGAAATACAAAGAAATGTCTCATACCATAGGGGAAATGGTCTTATTCAGGCTTTAGTTTTTTATTTGAGGCTGTCAAAGAAAAGCCATAGTGCTTGTCAGTTCTGATATGCTGTGACTGGCTCTGGTGGGTGATGGTTTGTGGTTTCGTGTGGTAGGCCTGGCGCTGGGTTTTTTCATTGCTGGGTGGAGAGAGGGTGGGTTATGCTGTGTGTCTAAGTTGGTGTCTCCCAGGAGTTTACTATAGAATAGATTTCATTCTCCTTGAAGGCTGACTCCCAGCTGCTGGGGGATGACAGTAACTGAAAGATAAGAATGGAGATAGTATATCTGCTGATGGGAAAGGCACGGTCAGAAAGGGATAGATGAAATCTTTGAAATAGCTTGATGTATTCTTAAACAGGAATGTTTACAGGGAGGTAATGTTAGGCAAACACGCCTAGGTTAATTTCAGCACGAACTGTTAGCTGGAAGAGAGAGAGTCAGCAGAACAGCAGAAGTTACCTCCTCTCCCTGGGAGTGAAGACCCCAGTTGCTGACATGATCCGAAACATTCTCCATCCTCCACTGCTAAGGGAGACAACTTTCATTGTTTGGAGACACACCTGTTCTTTGGAAAGGCATACTTTATTCCCTGCCTTTTTCTTCATGTAGCGTTAAACACATATTGCTGAAGTAGCATATAAAGCAGTTGCTTCATTCTTTAGGAAGATCTAGAGACATAATAATGAAAAAGAACTATAAACACAGAAAAAAAAGTTGCATCCTCTAATCCTACCCCTCTGCTCCTTAGACTGGCATTTGGTTATAAGACTGCGTCTTGGTTATATGACCTACAGGGATATATGGGCTTAGTGAAATGATTTAAAGCATAAGTGGATTTCTGTACAATTTACCTACAATACCCTTTTATTACCTGCAGCATTTGGATGCTTTGCTGAGAGAGGTAAAAGACATTGTGGCCAAACACTCTGACATGTCTGTCCTCGAGGCTTCCTCCAGGACTTATTATATCCTCTGCAGTGAAGAAATTGGCATTTATAGCCAGGTGGATTGTGCTCGAACTCAACTGATAGATGAGTTGATGGAACAGCTTAACCAGCTACTAGATGGCTTCTGGCAGAAGGTGAGTGTGACTCACTGTGGAGGTAACCAGACTGTTTCATTATGAAAAAAAAAAAGGGGAGACAAAAAATAAAGGGGGTTATGGAACTGTTCTCTGCCTGCTATTTCTGCTTGAAGGGAGCAGAACTTGAAAGATGGGTTTGCACCTCTGGAAAGATTGGTTGTTCATATTTTAATGAAGCAGATATATTTTTGCGGGAATAGAGTGAGGAAAATTATAAACAAAGTAGTCCACACCAGCAACAGGGCATTTTATGTCTTTTGGTAAGCTTTTATTGGACACTGATATTGTAAATTGTGTCAAGCCAAAAAATCCCCTAACCTCAGATTGGAACTACTTTGTTGATCTGTTTCAGTGTGGGATAATGTGTCCTTAGGAGAAACAAAATAAGTTCCAGACCAAATATTCTGGACCTAAGCTCTATAGTTGCTTTATAATTACTCTAGTACTGTGCCAAAGGAACTATGGCAAGATCAGCTACTAAGTGCTGTGTATCTATAGTGATGAGACTGTTCCCAAAAAGGTATGTTTCTGTACTTCTGTATATTTGACTGTACACGAGATGCCCTTTGTACTGTCACTTCGGCTGTATGGGGGAACAAAAAGTAAACAGCAGTCTGTAGTGCAGATTTCATAGCTTTGGGGGTCTTTGAAATAATGACTTTCCCCTTGAAGGAGGATTGCAGAGTCTCCCTCAAAGTTTTTCATTAGGTCTAAAAAGCAGAAACAGCTGGTGGTGATATGAATAGCTTGCTGGCTGAACTGAACAACAGAAGCCTGCAGCTGATCTGATCAACTGTGCCGTCATGAACAGGTGTCATGCCATGGTATGAGAGTTAACACTGGCAGGTTTTTATTGGACACTGGGATATTGTAAAATGTGTCAAGCCAAAAAATCCCCTAACCTCAGATTGGATTAATTTTATTGGCCTTAAATAGAGATCTATGTCAATGTGGTAGAATGTGTACTTATGAGAAACAAGATAAGTGCTAGACCAGGGATTCTTCAACTCCCCCGTAGCGTGATCCGTATCTAAATAAAGAGATTTTTCTCCTGGAACCCCTCCCTTCTAATTCCTGGTTGTATATATCGTCCCCCAGAATCACATAGTATGCTTGTGGAAACTACAGCAATTGCATCTATGGGAAAGTATTTCATATATTTTTAGCTATCTTTGAATGTGATCTGGCAGCTGGAAGCAAGGAAGGTCAGCACCATGCGAACAGTTAGCTTTCTAGAGATCCTTAATAACTGTGTGAAGGACCATGTTAACCTAATTGCTAGTTTTTACTCTGTGTTAGCAATACTGCAGTCTAGGGAGGCTGCCATGGGGTTATTAATGACAGAGATGTTTCCTTATAGAAAATTTCTGTGCGGTTATATTGTTTTGTTTTTACTGTAGAGGAAGACATGAGTAGGGTGGTTAAAGGTGAAGGTACATGGGAGGGCTCAAGGAGAGTGATTCGAGCTTGTGGGTTGGTTGGGAAGAGAACATAGTAGTGCCCTTTCCTTTCTCTGGCTAATTGCTTTGTCTTTCCCAAACTTTCATGATTTAGGAAGGAGAATTTTGTATGGATGCAGGAGCAATTTCCTGGATGAACTCTGCTTTGAGAAGAGTAGCAGCTTTTCATAAGTGAGATGTTTATTTACACAATTTACATTCCTTAAAATGTCGACCTTACACATGCAAATTGAGAATTGCTTTTTGGGTTTAATAGGTTTTTTTGCATAGGAATGAAATGCTCTGTTTCTGCAAAGAGAAGTCTAATGTTGAGTTGTGAATACTCAAGGTTGCAGTGTTAGATCATGAAAACATACTTTTCCACCCTTATAATTAATATTTAGTTGTTTAATGTTATTATTCTACATTATCTGAAGTCAAAAATAGGATACATTTAACCTGTTTGGTCAGGTGAGACTCCATTTCTTGCTTAGTGTATCATTATAATTACTTTTTCACTTACAGTGCCCATGATCTCACCAAATGGAATCTGTATGACAAGACTTTAAGGTTCCTGGTGTTTGAAATGGAACATGGGAGTTTGCCTGTTCTGGTGAGTTGTTAATATTTAACAGTGAAAGAGGTTTTTCTTGATGAAAGCACAAAAAATTAGAAAATATTAAATAATCTTATATATCAATGTCCTATGAGGCAGGAAGATACTGTTTCCATTTCTCAATCCTGGACACTGAGGCTGTCTTTGGTATAACATTATTGTGATCTGTAAATTCATGCCTTTATATTAATTTATTTTGAAGATTGTCCAGAACTGTGATAATCATCTGGCATCTGGATTGATCTTTTGTCATGTTCAGTACTTCTAATGATTGCACTGTTTCATTTTCAGTACATATGAAATTGTTGGGACTGTGAGGACCCCTTTTTAGGTTGCATGTAACCAGAAATTGGAATACTTTGGACCTGTTGCTTACATGTTGACTCTTGGTGTAATGGTTTGTAATTACCAGTTGTCTCAATGGCAGCCTTTTGGTTGTCTGATTGCCTCAACTCAAGCGTTGTCTGTGCCAAGATGGAGTTCTATATTCTAGGATTACAAGGTGAAATACTCTAGGAGTTCTTTCCCTGTTTTCAGGAGAGAAATGAAAGGGTTTTTTGAGAAAAGGTGAAATTTAGTTGAGTAGAGAGAGCCTGCAGCCGGTAGGTAGGGTGGATTCCTTTAGATGGAGCATCGGAGCACCAAGATTTGGCTTCTGCTCAGAATTGCTCTCTGGAGTAGTCCTGCCTTTCATCAAAGACTGCAGAGAAATCATGAGAAGCTAAGCTGAAGTTAACCTCTGTGAACACACTTTTGGTATGTGGGTTACTTTCCTTGAACTCATCAAGATGTCAAAGAAGTTCTGCAGAAGCAGCACCTTAGTAATGAAGTGTCTCAGGGGGCAGTGTTTGCTTGTATGTAAACCTATTATGTTAATTTTAAGGGACAGTTGAGAAATGGTCGTGCAAGCAGCATGCAGAATGTCAGGGTTGAATGCTTTGTTTAGTCCTAAACGTTTTGCTGTTGAGCCTTTCATGTAAATAAAGGACATGTGTTTTTATTTTCAGATTATCCTGCCGGCTCTCCAGTGCACTTATTTTTCTCTCCTGTGGCAACTATCTGCAGTTTCAGAAAATTCTACCAAGGTTGGCTGCTCACGTAACTTTGAAACCCAGAGTTGTGCTTCTGGGAGTTTAAGTTACTTTTCCTGTTCTCAGATTGCCAGAAAAAAACAGGCTTTATAAGAAGATAATTTGTGTGTTTTCTTGAGGAAACCAAATTGTGTTTATGCTTTTTCAGTCCGCAGGAGAATAAGTGAACAACGGTTTACCTCTTTTTTTACTACAAAACATGTGCATCGAATTCCAGGGGCTTGATGGAGATAAAGAACTTGTTTCACTGCCAAACAGTTTGTTGTTTTCTTGTTTTAAGCAACAAAGAATATTCAGTGAAAACTCCAGGAAGTCCTGTTGCTTAGTTGTTTTTTTTTTTTTGCTTCTTTTAATTTACATATTTCTGGCAGAAGGTTGAGGAAAGGGGTAATTTTTCTCCTCAGCTGACAATTTACTTTTGTAATTGATTTTATCAAGTGCCAAACTCTGGCAGGTATTTCAGAAGACAGTCTAGCTTAAGACACCAAAAAGGAAAACTCTATTATGCATTGGTTCACTTGTGAATGTGTACCTATGGGACTGCTCTTCATGGTGATTTCTGACTACACTGAGTGCTGCTCCTTCTGCCATTCTGTCCCCTTCCCTGGTGCTCCTGTGCATACAGGACAGGACGCTGACATGGACATGTGTTTTGTGTGAGAAATGCTAGCTGGGAGATTACCCATTTGGCGACTGATTCACTCTCTATTCCTGTCCCATTCCATTCCTGTGTGGATGTCCACATCTCTCACTGCTCTAGTATGTTCTGACTTTCACTCCAGACACAGTTAGCTTAACTGGTAATGGGGCAGCACATTTTTTAATTTGACCTTTCATACGGGAGCAGATTTTGATTGGAAGCACAATGTGACGGCCCACTCTGCAGGGCCAAGTCTGGATGTTGCCCAAAACCCAACCATTTCCTGAACAGCAGCTCTAGGACTGTTACTTCCCCCTTGCTCCTCCCCCAGCAGTGTTAAGGCAATGTATAACCCCTCCCCTGGTTCTCCTCAGCATGTCCTGGGATGGATCCCCTTTCTTATAAATGTACAGTTGCATAGCATGAAAGCCAGCCCTCTTGTAAGGGCATTCCTCTTACACTGAGAGCTCAAAGCTCAGTGTAGTGCAGCTGGGACCTGGTGGAGGATCAGAAAGTCTTTTGTGTGGCTCTAGGCAAACAATCTCTCATGCTCGATTCAGCTTAGCAAACAGAGGTCTCTTAAGTTTCTGAGTGCCAAAGTTAAACTCCATTCCCTCTGTAGTCAATAGAGAGGGGGAGAAAAACAACTCCAGAAGGCAATGAACACTGAAAATTAGGTGGGATAGACCTGACTCTACTTCCATTGTTACCACTGCTTTAAAAGGATAAGATGAAGTGAATAAGGGAATATGTGCTGCCAACCCTACAGATTGAGAAACAAAGAGTTTGTGACCTGCTGAATACCACTGGCTTCAGCAAGTGTGACAGATGCAGTTGTTCATAACTAGTAAGATGTTGTACCATGAGATGTCAGCTTCTTTCATAATGTTATCAGCTGTGCTATCTTAAATGAATGAGTGGAAGAAAGATGCAACTATTGTTTATTCTGTAATTCTCTGTTGAGTCATAGTCCCATGCATGCTGATCCTTTCACCTTTCCTAAATACATTTTTAGGAGACTCTTTTTCCACTAAGAAGGGAGCTGAGACGTTTCAGTCAGATTTGCACGTGCTTCCTCCAACATAAGGAAAAAGATGTAAGAGAAAAGGTTTGTGTTTCTCTATCACTTAACTAGCATTCATGCTCAGATCTCCTTTTAAGTGCCTGCCATTCTTTTCGTACTGGTGTTTCCTTCTACCGATTTTGCTATGTTTTTGTCTCTTAAAAGAAAAATAACTCTTTAAAAAAACAATCTTTAACTATTTATTTTAAAGAAAAATTAAACTTATGTTAGTTAAATACTAAAAGTTCGTGCTTTAGTCAAGCATAGATCTGTGTCTCCATGGGTCCATCTGCAGAATCAAGGCCTGAATTTGAGTGATAATCATTGTGTTTTCTGATTAGACTGATCAGTGTACTGGTTGCTATTATTGCTTTATTAATGTCTTGCTATGTATGTTACTTAAAAAAATGTAGAAATTGTCCAGTGATTCATGGGTTAAAAGAGAGATATTCCAACATAATGGAGCTCTTCTTCTTTCCCATGGAAGTTTGAAAATCTTTAGGTGGTGTTCATACATGATACTTGTATACACTGCTTCTCCTAAGGTACACATTTTGAAAGGGCTTAGCTGTGGCATTTCACCACAGCTGAGGCAAAGAGAAATCTTTAGTTTACAAGGAAGAAGTGGGATGGAAGCTAGGCTGTGTTTGATGGAGAGGAAAAGTGGAGTTGACATGAAAAGTAACACAGTATCCTTCTTTGGCTTTGTTTGCTTGATACAGGTCTTCATGATACTCTGTGACTGGTTGCTGATTTTGAGTCATCAGGGTTCAAATAATAAGGAAGAAGCAATTGGACTTCTAGGTTACCTTCCTAACACGTCACTTCAGGAAAAACTGTTTTTGTTTATCCGGGAACATGTTTTTGTGGATGAAGAAGAGGAAAGAAAAGGTTAGACATCTTAATCACCAGAGAAACAATCTACCACTTTTGCTATCATTTGTCATCTGCAGTGAATGTATCAGGAAAAGGGGCTGGCCTCTTTTTTTGTCATTGTTGTTTTGTGGGTTGCTTTGGTTTTTTTTCAGGTTGGGCCCCTTTACAGACAAAATGGCTGACCTGTTATTCATTGATCTGTACCATTGATCTGTGGATTAACCATAGGATATAGCTGCCAATTTACTTGTAGGATGAAAAGGGCTGAAGTAATGCAGGGATGGGTGAGAATGTAAAAGTATTTGGTAGACTGACTTTTGTGGTACAGATGATGGTATTAGAGGAAAGCCGTGCAGTGTTGCAGTGTGGCTCTCTCAGTGTGTGGACCCTTTGAAGCCATCAAAATAAAGGATTAGTGGATTTTGATTTTGGGGCTGTGGGGCAGATTTTACAGAATCATAGACTAGTTTGGGTTGGAAGGGACCTTACAGACCACCTGGCATGGGCAGGACACCTTCCATTAGACCAGGTTGCTCAGAGCCCCATCCAACCTGGCCTTGAACAGAGATGGGGCATTCACGAAGTCTCTGGTCAACCTACTGCAGTGCCTTACCATCCTGACAATCAAGATTTTTTCCCTGTATCTAAGGAATAAATCTACCCTCTTTCAGTTAAAAGCCATTCCTTCTTGTCCTATCACTGCATGCCTGTGTACAAAGTCAAACACATTTGGAAGCTGTGTTGAGGTTGTAATTGTGAAGGCTGGTTTCTTTTGGGAGTGTTTTGAAAACAGATTGTTAGTTCATTGTGGTTCTGAGACCAAGTTCAAGTGTCATGCTCTAAAAAATGCTTTTGTTTCCCTAGACCTGACAGAAGAGGAAAAGGATGAAAGTTGCAAACTTGATGACTTGCACAGAAAGCGGAGTCTTCTTGCAGCATATTGCAAGTTAATAGTGTATAATGTGGTAGAGATGACTGCAGCTGCTGAGATCTATAAGTATTATGTGAAGGTAATGTTTTAGATAAAATTGCTTTCCCTGTCAGTGCATTTTAGTTTTTGAAAGTGACTCCAGTGTTTGTGAAAGATGTGGTGTTAATAGCGTTATGGCTCAGAATCCGTATATAATCATAAAAGGGCTATAAAATCAAGCAGGAGTAGGGCAAATCTCTTCCCTTGGCTCCACAAAGTTACCTCACTGCAGACAAAGCAACTGAAAATTGAGCAAAGAATATGTTTGCTCCTCACATTCTCCAGAGAGATCACTGCAAAGAAGCAGTGTATGGTTGGGGAGTGTTCTAGATGTAGAGCTTCTCACACTGAAGCGGTCAGGTTACTTCACACGACTCACACAGAAGTTGGCCTACGTTTCACCTGAGTCCAGGGTTTAAACAATTAGTAGAGCTTCAGCCACTCTGAATTGGGTTTCAGGAGGGCCGAGAACGAAATGGGAAGTTTCCCTGAGTCAACTAACAGAACTTTGGAAATACCTCAATGTGAATCTTGTTCTTTACTTTCTTGGCGGGCACTGGTTAAATACAGAAACCTCTCTTTTTCACTCCCAAAGAGGCTTTGTTCTTTTGTTGTAATTAATACTTAATAATTTCAGTAAAACTTTAATCCTCACATTACTCTTAAAGGAGTATCCCATTGCTTTACGTATGAAATAATGTAAAAAGTCCAGTTTTCATCTTCTAACTTGTGTGTTCGGATATTGGGAGTGTTTTATGAACTTCTTGTGTCCCATGAACAGTCACATGTTTTGTGTACTTCCAGTACTAAAGAAGGGTAATGATAATTCTCATTTGTTTTGTTGCTATTACTAGACCTACAATGATTTTGGAGACATAATTAAAGAACTATTAAGCAAGATGAGACACAATAACAAAATGCAGAGTGCCAAGACACTGATTCTTTGTCTGCAGCAGGTAAGGTTATGATTAAAGTAAGTTACTAGGGGGACTTATAACAGCTGTATTCATAGTGAAGATTTTTACCTACCGTGCCATAATTATTCATAATCATTAGAAAACCTAGTGAAAGAAATTATTTCCTTTCCTGCCTTCCTGTGTGTATGTTGTTTTTGCATGTCATAATTAAAACTCCTTTAAATTCATTACATCAATTTTAAAAGGTAATTTTGTGCTTGATTTTTTTGGTCATGATTTTAATCTTCAAGTATGTTAGAACTGATGTGAGATTATGAAGTGTTTCTTGGGACATGGTAAGTATTCTTTTAACCTTAATAAATGTTAAGGATATTGTGCTGTGTTTTATGGATTATCTAAATTTCTGTTGAATTTGAGGAACCACGGATGTGCCTATGGCTGGTCAGCTCCAACCCCCTGTATTTTCAGCATTTTTTTCTGGAGAAAAGTGGGTTGCAGCTCTTCTGAAGGGTCTCAGTTGCTGTGGCTTGCAGCTTCTGACTGATAGCCAGTTAGCTATTCTAACAGCTGGTTTTTCCTGCTCTGCCCATGGCCAGAGCTGCTTGTAGCTTGGAGTCGTGCTGTAATCCAGAGAGCAGGCTCCTCCCAGAGGGTACTGATACATGAGCTTTGCTTATTTCACACCCATTGCCAGGGCTTAGATCTGTGAACTAGCCCTTGAAATCTGAGCTTAGATGAGGCTAAGCAGCATTTGGCTACATATATTCTGCTGACATAGTCAGGACTTTGTGTTTAGGTATCACATAGACAACAGGCCCTTTTTGGCCTTTGCTTGACCTTGAAAGTTAACAGGTTGAAGAGAAGAAGCTACTTCCATATTCTGTTAGGAAAAAACCCCAAAGCATATTTAGTTGGGGTCAAGATGTGCTTTTGACCCACTCTCAGAAATTGGACTATGCTGCTGTCAGACTTGCTGCTTTGTAGCTTTCTGCTACTCTGAAAGCCTCTCAGGCAAATTAGGCTTCTGGGGCTTAGTTCAGAAGTCCCAAGAGGAGATGGGGTCAGTGGAACCATCATCTTCAGGAATTGGTTCTCTGTTTATGCACATTGTTTTTTATTTTTACTTTTTTGATTTGTTCCTGTCTGTTGAGCTCACCTGTGTCCTTTGTGTCAAGTTGGTGGTTGTTGTTCATTCATGCGCTTCAGAAACAATTGACTAACCTGCTCTTTTGTAAGGCTTCTGTCCGTGTAAGGCAACTGTTGCTTGCTGTGCATGTCTCTCTGTCTTCCTGGTGCTCTGTTTGTCTGTTGGATTACCTGTGTTTGCTTATCTGAGACTTCTCTTGCAGCTGTTTCAGACACATGCAGAAAGCCAAGACAGCAGTAGTGGTGTGGACTTCTCCTCTGCTTCCTTTACAAACATCAAAGAACTTGCTCGTCGCTTTTCACTAACATTTGGTTGGGACCAAGTGAAATCTAGAGAATCTATAGCCATGATACACAAGTATGTGCCATGTAACATCACGTTGTCTGTGGTCATTGCTTTTGTTAGTTGTCTATTTTAACTGTTTTATTACTCTGTTCTTTTTTTTTCTATTTTTTTTCTTCCAATAGGGAAGGGATTGAATTTGCTTTTCAAGGAGCTACTGGAGTAGATGGAAAATGCTTGCCTCCTAACTTGGGCTTTCTGTTAATCATCAGTGAATTTTCCAACAAGCTGTTAAAGCCAGACAAAAGACTAGTGTAAGTTAAGTTCTTGTACACCATCATACACAGTCTGTGACTTGTGTATCCCTGTACACAGGACACTTGAGCTTCAGTATGGCAGAATTTGCTCAAGGGCTTTTCAGAGACCTCTGAAATCATTCTGTCCCTGAGGCTGTTTGAGAGACACTTGTTGGATTTTGTAGTAGTAGTTATTTCAGGAAGAAACAGTGCATGGATCATTATTTTGTAATGATCTAATTCCACAGCTTCAGGCCTCAATTACGTGAATTCCATGGTGTATATTTGGAATATATGTGTGACATCTTCATAATGTGGATATTTAAATTCAAGAATTTATTATTTACATGCAAATATGCCCTGATCAGTGGGCCCGTGTTTTACAGTGGTTTAAATATTTACATTTAATAAGAATGATAGCCTTATTTTGGCATCATGGGGCATTATATGTCTGAATGGAGAGATGTATGTCTCTTATTCCCTTCACCTGCCTCAGCTCCAGTCAGTTTTCAGAAGGAAGTAACATTCTTCCTTCTATTTGACCTTTAGCATTACTTCCTTTCTCAGTGCTGCTTATTTTGGATCTGGGTCTCTGCATTTCAGTATTTTATTTATAGATACTGTAAAACCCAGGTATTTCCATTTTCCTGAGAGCATATTTGAAGACCTGGGAATGTAAGATGAAACATTAAGACACATCTGCCTTTTTGAATTTCTGAGCAAATCACTCCAGTGCATGAAAAGGAAAGTTTCACTTTTGAAAGAAAGTCAGCAGAAATGGAAAAAACCCCAACTATCACATCTTGCTGAGCTCTGTGTTGCTCCTGTGTTGCTTTGTCTTAAGTTGAAGGATAACTTTCATGGGGATCATCAACCAGGTTTTATGTAACATGGGTCAAGAGCGGTAAAATGTCTACTTTCCTGTTACTTCACATAACACAATTTATTAACAATTGCCAGCTACACAGATAGTTCATTTGAAAACATTAATTCGAACCCAGAATGCAAAATGCAGAAGAAAAATAGCTAACATTTACTGATTACAAACCCTGATAAACATAAAGGGGATAATCTATGGGTATTGGTAACTTCCTTTTCTATTCCTGCATTTTTCTCAGATGAGAATCTTTGAGATCTACAACTAAAACTGGTTTTCACAGAATCCATAGGATGTCAAGGATAATCTTGTCCCAACCCTCCTGCCATGAGCAGGGACACCTTCCACTAGACCAGGTTGCTCAAAACCCTATTCAGCCTGGCCTTGAACACTTCCAGGGATGGGACTTACACAACTTCTCTGAGCAATCTGTTCCACTGCCTTACCACCCTCACAGTCAAGAATTTCATCCTAATATCTAATCTAAACCCACTCTCTTTCAGTGTAAAGCCATTAAAAGCCTTGTCCTATCTCTATGTGCTCCTGTAAAAAATCCCTCTCCAGCTCTCTTGTAGGCTCCCTTTAGGTACTGGAAGGTGTTGTAAGTTGTGCCCAAAGCCTTTTCTTCTCCAGGCTAAACAACCCCAACTCTCTCAGCCTGTTTTCATAGGGAAAGTGCTCCAGGCCCCAGATTGTACAGTTTCTGTATAACTCTGTCCATATTGTATGGATTTTAAAGAACTATCATCATCTGTGGTGACACCCATGCAATAATTAGCTTTCTGTTAATCCATACTTGAAAAACTGTCATTTCATTTACCTCTAAGGAGTAGTTTCTAATTCAACAAGTGGAAAATATTTAATTGTTGATGTGGGCAAATTTAAAGCTAAATCCTGATTTAGCTAAACTCTTTTCCTAAGACTATATTTAACCTCTTGATCAGAGGATATGCTCTAGAAGTATATTCCTGAATGTGTTACATACATTCAGGTAGGTTTATTGATTGAAAAGTTTTGTGGGAAATACAGAATCTAGCAGAGAATGCACTTGACTTCAGTTCTTACTGCTTTGGACCTTCCCACTGCTGCTGGGAACAAATGGGAAACAATAAAAATCACAAGAGGGGAAATTGCAATTTATCCACAAGTACATTCATGCTATGTTTCTAGAATAACAGTTTCTATTCTGGGAAGCCTAAAGTGCCTTGCAGGGGCTGGAGATTATATTTCCTCTTAGAAATATTTATGTTTATCTCTATCATAAATTATTGAATGGAATGTTTTAGGTCAACATGAACTTTTAGAAATAAACATCTGGTTATTTTCATTTTTCTTATTAATCATAGGATTGATGTCCAAATCTGTATGTTAACATATGTGAACGTACCTGTAACAGATGAGATACAGAATATGGGCATTTGTTAGAAAGGGCTATATTTCAACACCATCAAAGTATATGGACTTCAACCCTCTCCCCTGTAATTGCTTAGGCTGTAGCAGTAAAATACCTGACTTGTCAATTGCTCTGTACCACAAAATGCACACAAGGAATGAATTGCTGAATAGCAAGCAGCATGAAGGGCCTGATTCCTGAATCAGTAGGAGTCTTTCCATTAACATTGATAGCAGTTGGATTAGACTCTGAAACTGTAGTTACAATATGTGCTTGTTTGAAACCAACAAATTCCATTACCAGGGTTTCTTGATCCCTGGGGCCCCCCAAGGCCAGAAATTGTTTTGGAGACGGTGCTTTTACCCTGACCTCCTCTCAGCACTGGTTTTCTTGTTTTGCAAAGTGAATGAAATGTCTGATATTTTCCAGGCCACTCTCCTAATCACAAAAGGAATAATATACTGTACAGGCTGGTGTTAGAACTGTCATTTCTGGTATTTGCTAAGGTGGGGTTTGTTTTAGCGACACTAGGCTTGATTTCAGAGTGATGAACTGTAGCTGAAATGTGGTGAATATCCAGTTTCTAATCCTAAGTCAGACTTTGGCTTTCTTTTCTTATTGTTATGAAGTAGGAACGGGTCAGAAAGACTTCGTCAGAAATGTCCTGTTTTTCAAAAAGAATGTTTGAAGGAGGCCTCTTTGCTCCAGGAAAGGTGATAGCTTCACCTGGGATTCAGGAAGGCCTGAAGTCGTCTCTGGATTGAATCAGACAGAACAGGGATTTGAAACAATGTTTCCCACATCCCGCGTGTTGCCATAACTGCAGAGCTGTTAACTGCTTGTTGCAGACACTTGGAATTTTACTGAGAAGCTGAAAGAATTGGATTGTTTTTGAGATGATACTATAGAAAAGTGGTTTAACTGATTTTTTTTTTTTAATTTTGACAGAATAGGCACTCATGGTGTAAATACCCCATTTCCTGACCTCTATTGTTTCCTGTACTATTGAATCACAAGGAGCATCTCTCACCTGGGATCCCCTTTGTGATGCAGTCCATAAGGCAGAAAAGGCCAGCAGTAGGAGTGCATCCTCACAGAATTCTGCTCCATTCAAATTGCTACTGGCAGCAGCAGTTGGCAGTGCCTTTCCCTGCACAGGAAATTCTTTCTATAAGCTGATGTAATTTTGTAATTTCTGTGGATCTAATGTTGTTTCTAATGCTAAAATTTAAGCACTCCTTTAGCTTTGAAGGAATCTGTATTTTAAATAGATATTTCAGAGAAGGGGGAAGCCCTTTGTTCAACAGTTCTGTCTGCACCTTTAGAGAGTAAAGGGAAAAGCCTTTCTAGCAATACCTGCCCCAGATGTTGAAGGGAAAGATACTGAGTTTCCTTATGCTTGCTTTTGTTTTTCCCCAGGTACACTTACTTACAGAGGTACATAGCAGAACCACTGCCCTGCAGAGGAGATGGATGGCAGCCCTTGGTCTGGTACAGAAACTCTTTATTGGCAAATGAAGATGAGGAGAGCTCTGCCCTCGGCAGTTTGGGAGAGTGGCCCCCTGTGGGCACATCTAAGACATCTTCTTTTAAAAGGAAATTGTCTAATGGTATGAAAACTTCCCTGTTCTTGATCAGCTGTGTTTGCTTTGTCTGTCTGTCAAAATTGCTGTACTTGCTATTTCGCTTTGCTTTACCAAATTTGCATTTGCTAAAATGCACTTCATGCTTTGCATTAGCAGTACAGTACCACAGTGAGTTGGATGTTGGGACTTTACAGTTCAAACTGGGTTTTTTGTCTCCAGCTTTGTTGATGTTAAAGGCCCCTTCATCACTCAATAGCAGTAAGGTTGGGCTGAAAACTCTGAGTGAGCAGAATTCAAGATTATCTGAATTCTGCTCTGTACTGAGATCTGGCATTTGTCTGTGCCACTGAGACTTTGTTGATGGCTTTTAATTGTTAAGGGCATTGTTGCTTTAGGCCTTGTAGGTAATTGAGACAGGAGAGGCATTTCCAGAAGTTGATTCAGATCTTCAGCCCAGATGAACTTCAGCCAAATCATCTTCTAGGGTTTTGCTCTCTGTTGAATTTCTAGGGAGCCTGTAAGATTATATTCCTGCTTTTAAGAGTTATAGTTTGGTGGGCTGCATCCAAACTTTAGCAGCATTCATGGACTTCCAATCTGTAATTAAATATTCACTGCATGGATATGACGGGACTTAGTTAAAATGTAATAAAGCCAATATGAAAACAATTGCTAATAACAATGCTAAGTGCTATGGACATGTGCAGTCATATGTGGGGGAAAGGAAATTTTTCCAGTGTCCCTTAGTTTCTTTCTCATCCTTTCTTGTAAATTTTCTTCTTGGTGGCTTGCCTTCAGAGAGCTTGTCCCCTTGTGTCCCCAAAGGTCCTCTTTTCCTGAGGGTTATATAGACTCAGCAGTACAGATAGCGGTTACGGACCAGGGCCAAGTTCATAAATCTAGATTGCAAAAATGACCAGTGGGCAAATTAAATGGATTTTCTTTTAAGTGGCTTTTAGCTGTCTCCTTCAATAAATGAATGCTTTGCTCCAGATCTCCTTTTGAGCTTGGCCCCATTGTTTCACTGCTGTGGGGAACACGCTGGAAATGTCCATCTCAAGACCTCTGAGGGTGATGCTGAAGAGCAGTTCTGTTTGCTGTCTGTTCCAGGGTCTTTGCCTGAAACCAGCCAGACTGAAGTAGCAAGCAAAGCCCCAGAACAGCAGTGCACTTCCCAGCTTCCCTCCGCAGCAGGAAAAAACAGAAAGAGGCTGAAATCTCGAGAGATGTGCTTGCAGGAACGTTTGCCGTTCCTTTGTCCAGGAGGGCTACGCAGAAGATACTGGTGAGAGTTTTATGTCTTACAAGCTCCTTCACTTGTCCTGGTATTGACAGTTGGGGTCTATCTATCCACCTCTGCTTCTGTTTTTTTATAATACTTATGGGCAAAGGATGTGTGCTACTCCTGTCTTTCTTATGGGCACTGTCCCGAGGACATGTTTCCTTAGTCCAATATCTACATTTGCTGCTTTAGCCTGCCACTGTCACAGGGCTTCCATGCCTTCTTGGACTAATATCGAGTGTACAGAGAAAAAGACAAGGAAGGAGGAAAGTCCCCTGTGCCTCTTCTCTTGTCCCGATTAGAGGGGCTGTGGTGTTGGTTACTCCCTGGCTGTTTGCTGCAGCCAGATGATAAGTGTTTTCTGCATCTCTGGAAATGAAAGAGGATTCTTGTCTCTGCAGATTTGCTATTAACTATTGCATAACTGGTGGCTTCCTTTTAGAGAAGTGTCTGTCTGTGTGCAGCAGGCACACATGCCTAAGTGAAACCCCATGGAACTTGGATATGAGAAGTGTTGCAGAAATAGGGAGTCTGGAGTCTACTTCTGAGCTCTGTAAAGCAATCAAAGAGCTCAGTTGCAATAGTTCCCTTTCATACAGGTAATTTATTGAGGTGTTAGGTGCCATTTCCTATATTGGTAGGTTAAAAGGGGAGATATAAATCTCAGAAAGATGCATACTTTTCCAGGTTTTCAGGGACACTTTTTAGATGGACCTGGTGAATACAAGTAAAATAGAACAAAAATTTATTTAACATGAAGGTAGCCCCTGTTTAAATCAAGTTTTTTTTTTCTGAAATGCTTTACTGGAAATTCCTTAGAGCATAACCTGTTTCATACCTGGGAAATTCTGGGCCAGTAACTTTAGGCTACCTTACATGGATATCAGCAGCAGAAGTATCTGCCTTAAATGCACTTGTGCAACGTACAGCCTCTGTTACGAGCTTTCTCAAGACTTAGCTTTTTTTTGGTTTATCTTTTTTGTTTTCAGCAAAGATGAGATTAAGACAGAAGATGTCTCAGAGGACGGTCAAGCAGGAGGCACAGCGGAAGATGTTGATGTTGATGTTGTTGGTGCAGATCAGGTAATTCTGGCTCAGGTTTTCCACTTGTAGTTGAGGTGGTGAATGTGAGGTCAGAGACTCCTGAGTAACCATCTAGCAGCAAAGGGGGCTGCTCTTATGTGGTCCCTTTCAGGATGAGAAAAGGGGGATTCCACTCTTCCCTTTCCAGCTGTAGCTGTAGTTTCCTCCTTCACCTTGATCTGCATTTTAAGGCAATTCTTGTAGCATCTAGACATCCTTAGGTACACTGAACGCCAGCTAGGATGCGTTAAGAGGAGAATCCCATTTCCTTTTTTGCCATACTGTGAAGCTTCCCGATTAAGAGACATTTGCTGCAGTTGCTTCGTGTTACCAACACATTGCAGAGATGGCACTGCTGCGTGGCCTGCAGGGAATATTTGCTTCAGAAATCGTGTTTGCATTGTGCTCTTTGGATTGAAAGACTCAGAATGTGTCTGATCACTGGTCAGCCCTGGGCTCTCGCTGGAGCGTCCCATGTTTCTTGCCCTTTTCCAGTCAAGGCTGTTGGGCAGATTAAATTGTCCCCAAAGCAGCTGGGGATTTGAAGGGAAGCATGAGAACATTGTGGGCTTGGAGTGGCAGCCAGTGTAGCCGGGGGGTTGTCTTGTAGGCACTGATTGCCTTTGGGATCAAAGTTTGGCAGAGCTGCAGCTGTCTGCCTGGATCTCAGCTCAGCCTGGAATGGATACTTGCAGCAGAGAAAGACTTTAAGGCCTTTGAGGCAGTGGAGTGCAAGGACTCAAATAGGACATTGTACAGCAGGGTCTTGCAGAGTGACTGTACAGAAAGGGGTGCAGTGGGGAAGACAGGCCATGAGTTTTCCTGTGCTGCAGCTACGCACAGCCCTTCTGTCCTCTAAAGGTTTACTGTGTCAGCCACTGCAGGAGCCTGAGTGGTTCCTTCAGGTTTTTCTCCTGTATTTTGCCCTGCTCTCTGCACTTCAGAATGCCACTAACTCAGTGTTTGGCAGATAGTTTTTTTGCAGTGAGTAAGGCAACCCCTTGATTTCCAGTGGCTCTGGTTATCTGGGATCTAACAGCCACATTCAGACTTTGCATGATTTTTGACTTTTTAAATGAGTTTTTCCTGTAAAGTTGATCAAAGGGTTCCTTTTCATATGAGTGGTGGGCTTTTTTCTTTTGTTTTGTTTTTAAAGAGGACTAGAAGGAAAAAAGGGACTTCTACCTTTTCTTCAAGTCATATGTGTGTTAAAATGTAGATTGTTTGGACCACGTACTTGGAGCAGCTCCTACTGAAGATAGATAATAGAAGAATTTAAATCCATGGAGCAAGATTGAAGCCATATATAAAATGCAGTACTTATCCAGTGTGTGGCCTTTCCCTGTAGTGCCTTTTCTGGGCTCCTTGGGGTATAGAAATGCTTATTTCCTTTTGTGGAGGCTAAATATAGTTCTTTCCAAGAGCTGGCTCTATGGCCAAGCTGGCGGATGGTTAGATGCTACAATGTTATTCAGATTCCTTATGTGCTCTTACATGATGTCTTCTTTATAGTACAAGACTGATTTCTCTTTTCTTATGGTATAGGACAGTTAAGACACTGAGAGGATGAACAGAAGCGAAGAACACACTATGTTTTTTTCTGCAAATTGTTTAACTTGAAAATGTGCTTGTGAGGGCATCCACTGAGACAGCAGGAGACACGTATCAAGGTGAATCTCTGCCTGTGGGCATCCACTCAGAACCAGTTCGTAGCACTGCGGTTGATTTCTCCCTGTTGCTGGTTGTGGGCGTTACTCATGTGGCTGCTGCACTTCCAAGGCTGTGGGTGTTAGGAGCGTCGTTACTCAATCGCATCCTGGTCCTTGATGCTGCCTTGGAAAAATTACCAACTGAAGGACTGGAATCAGGGTATAGACAAATTTTGAATCAAAGACTCTGTGAACTAGGTGAGACAAGTTTGTTCGAATCAGGGCAGGGGCAGAGTTCCGCTGGATGTGTTCTTTACCATTTGAGGTAACCAAGGTGGATATCTACTTGTTTCCTCTTACCTGATGCTGGGGAGAAAGGAGCCTGGCCCAGTTGTGAACACTGTGACCTGCTGGGTGACGGCAAGTGCCATTTCCTGCCTGTAAAATGGAAAACCTGGATCAAATCATCTGAAAGTATTTCTAAATTCCATTGCTTAGAGAGATGTGGTTAGTGGTCTGTGGGCATCAGGACATGTTCCCAGGAGACTTGCATCAAGGCTTCTAAGTAACAAAGAAAGAAACAGCAGACCAGCTGACTGAGTACTTTCCTCTGGAAGAAATCCCTTGTACACAGCGATCATGTGGTATTTACTTGGAAAATGTAAAGCCTGGAAAGACAATGTAAATAGACTGTAAATAATTACGAGTAGGGTTTTTTCATTAAGAGTTTGCAAATGATCTTCACTCAAGACTGTTCAGAGGCAGTAGACGGGGGAGTGGTGGGTGCTTTCACTGACACTTTGGCGCTGCTCCATGGAATTGTATATTGCAGTAATGCTATCAGCTTTTTTATATATATATATATATATATATATATTTTGGATTGTAACTGTGTAAAATAAACTACAGAACTACTGCTATCCATTAGTACTGAATGTGCAAGTGATACTCCCACACTATGTCTGGAGGAAAGAAGAGCAGCAATGCCTGCTGGCCTTCCTGTTTGTTCTGTTATTCAACAGGCTGAGAAGGGAGTTCCTATAAACATGGAAGTGAAAGCCATGACTGTCTCCCAGGTAGTGGGTACTCTGAATTGGCAACAGTAAACCCATGTTTCCTTTTGTGTAGTTGGGGGTGCAGTGGGCTAATGCAAGGGGTGAGGTAGCACTCCTAAGATAATGCAGTTCTTAGTTGCCCTGTGACTTGGTCAGTAACTCCCCATACCTGGACCATGGTAGTGATGTTTCCCTAATCCATCTAGATTTGTGGATTTAGGCCTAAGCATGCACCAGGCAGGCAGAATACAGCTTCACTAAGAAAACAGTTATCCCTGGGATCACATCAAGCATACAGCTGCTTTAATTCTTGTATGGGAATTACCCTACTGGGGAAAGGTACAGTAATCGTTATAGTTCATGTAAGAAAAGGCACTTCCACAGTAACAGCATAATTTGCTCTTCTTAGGAGAGAAGGGAGTTGGTTATCACAAGTATAATAGAGAGTAGGATTTAACAGGCACTTCATTAAACACAAAGTGTCAGCAACAGCTACAGGCTCTGCAGGAGAGATCGACCTTGCACCATAGCTCTGTGTAACAGAGAAATGTCACTGTGTGCTGAGAAAGCCCGTGGCTGTTCATTGTCCATTTACAAACCCCATTTTTAGGAAGGGTTTCAGGTAGGAAAAAGCAGCAGGCCACCACCTCTTGCACTGCAACAGATGTTCAGGATCATGTAGAAAAGGTGGTTGCTCATCCTTTCCCACAGCACCTTAGGGAACAGAGCTTAACATAAATGCTCTGTGTATCTTTACTGTTTAAAAGCTCCAAACCATGGGCAAAAGGTATCCAACTAACAGTGGAGAAATTTGACATTAGTGAGTCTCTATTAAAATTGGAATAATCAACCCCAATTATCTTTTTTTTTAAGAATCCTTTGAATGGTATTAAAATGACTTGAGTTTTCCTCAGTAAGGTTCCCCAACGCTTTGGCAATAGGTTTCATTACTTAAGATACACAGGTGTGTAGGTCTGTACAGGAGATGGTGTGGTGAGTCGAGCAGAACAGATTTCTCTGCACCACTCCCAGCTGCTCAGCAATACTCTCTTTTGGATGAAGAAAAACCTGCTAGAGGCTGATTGCTCTGAATATGCAGTTTGTGGTCATTATCAACCCAGACTGCATACCTGTGTAACCCATCCTATTGTGAGTTGTTCCTTAGTAGTAAGACATTACTGTGTGCAGTATGTAACAATTAGAAGTGTTACATTACATGTAGGAAAATCTTTATTTGAAAATACAAACATGTTTTTTAAACATTTTAAAGATCTACACTGCAACCAAAAAAATAACTTACATCTTTTTGTACATTTTCTTCCCCCAACAAAATCTGTTTAACATTTAAGAGTGAGGCAACAATTTCATGCTGCTGTGACACTGATGAATTCACGGAATGTGTCAATAGCAAACAAGCGAAGGGGGGGGGACAGACAAAAGCATTGAATGCCCACAACAAATTAGTGCACATCACTTATCAAGTAACATTTATACAAAGGATTTTTTAAAAAAATTGGTTCCTTCTACATGAATTAACACACCCATTTTGGATCAAGTATGAACACTAAAACAGACTTCATTGTAATAAGCTTTTTATGATTAACATCAATGAAAAGACTGAAGTTTAAAAGGGCAAGCAAAATTAAATTTGGGGCAAACAAGGACTACACAGAAGAAAAGCAACTTGTCTTGGGCATTTGCTTTCCTTGTATACTAATATGGTCAGCCTGTCAAACAAAACTCTGCTTGTAAATGAGCACTGAATTGTGCACTCATTGTCATGTCTCTTCCTTGCCAAGGCATAAAACCACTAGGGCTGTCTATGAGTGTAAGCGCATTGCAGGCCAGGTATAAATTGTCTCCTTACCTCCCATACCAGGACAGAAATACCTGTTCACAGGCAGGACAGAGATGGTCAGTGCACCACACGTCAACTTTGAGAGAATTATACAGTTCTCTAAAAACCAGTAGATTACTTTTCTCTAAAGTCAAATATTGTTATTCTTCCAAAAAGGAATTATGCAACATCTGTAAATAAATATTTTAATCTATTTTAAAAACTATAAACTATTGAATAAATACAAAAATTTTCATCATACCATACAAATACGCTTCTTTTACTTAGAAGGTAGTGTAGTGATTAAATATTTTTAGCACAAAACTAAGCTGACTTCCAGGAAACAACCCCCACTGAAACGTATTGGTGTGTAGCAGACCTGCTGCAGACTGTCCTTCTTTTCTGCAAGTGTTGACCATAAGTAACCTCTACTCAAAATCTTCTTCATAGTCATATTCATCCAAGTCTACATCAGCCAGATGGGAAGGCATTTCAAAAAATGGTCTTTTCTCCATTTGATACTTTAGGACATTGGCCTTCTGATGGTCTACAGGATTCAGTTCTGCTTCATACCTAGCGGCAGACACAAAAAAGAAATTGAAAGTCTATCTATGCCAGGGAGCACCTAAAAGTTGGAACACTAACAAGGCATCTGCGAGAAGAACATATTTTCCAATATTATATATTTACAGTAAAGAAACATGTAAGCAGAAGCAGCACTAGGGTTCTGTAATAATTACATCAATTTAAGCTGCATCATATGCAGAACTTCCCTGTGCCATACCACAGCTTTACTGAGGGGATTCAAAGCACACACTGCTCTGTGGACTATGCATAGGTTAGAAATAAGACTAAGTATTTGCCAAAAACCCCTCAAGTGTCAAGAAAGCTGAAATGAGGCTCAATTATGAAGAACAAACTACAGCAGTTGATATGACAAAAGAGACAGAATATGGAATTGAGAATCTTATTAAAATTTGTGTGAGTGCTGGGAAGCAATAGCAGCCATGTTTTTAAGCAGATGCTGGAAAGCAAAAGACAACTGTTTAATCAGAAACTACTGATAACCACCTGCTGGTGATGCAAATGCAAAGATGGATAACTAACTCAAGTCAGTGAATGATATTTTAAAAAGATTAGCTTCAACACTTTTTATGTGGGATCAATCTGTAATTCATATCCTTTAAAAAAATAAGTCTGTGGAGATTTATAGTGTCAGATTAAAGAACTGACCATTTCTTGGGCTAGGGTGACTCAGGTTCATGCGTGTCTTCCCAAGCACTACTGAATCTCATCTTGACACCTGATCATTTCCCTCTACTTAACACGACTATGCAGAGAATGACCTTTAGATACTGCGGTATGTGTTATTTAAACATAGTTTATAAAGCCATTATGTGCTGATTAGGAAAAGTGTTATTTCAGAGAAAGACATAGGGCAAAGAAGAGCTAAATACTAAGAATCCACTATGAACACTAAAATAGAGCAGCACCTTGGGTTCCTCCCATAAGTTCACCGCTAATTTAAACAGAAAACAAAAGCCATCTGAAGGTTTACTTCACCAAGTAACACATTTAAAAACTAGGGTTTGGAAAAAGAGATGCATATTCTACCATAACAACAGTTTTGGCTCACACACCTGTACTTGACAGTCTCCTACACCGTTAATGGCATATTTTTGAGAAGGGTTTGTTTTTTCTTTTAGAGAGGATTCATACCAACCCTTGTGCTACACTCTTACCCGTCATTCCATTGGTCACTTGCTGCCTCTTCTGCTACCAAGATATCGTACTCCTCAGCAGCATACTTCTCCCAGTCAGAGACCTCTGGACTTTCACCTTCACCATCCTAAACAATCACATTGCAAGTTATACAAAAAAGTATTAACTGCTAAGCACATAGCTATAAAGACTTTTAAAGCTTCATACTCACCCGCAACATAGAAAACTGATCCTTCTGTTCATGGTCAAGGTATTTTTCGATGTTGAAAAAAGTATCAAAGAACACATTTGTCAACTTACATCGCTTTAAATCATGCAGGGTAATTTTTCCTGTAAAAAATATTATGACATAATTAAAGATAAAATAATTAGAGCTAAAATTACCTTTCTCCAAAGAGGAGGAATGTTATTCAGAAGCTAAGTCATCATTACTCAATCATCATTGCTCGAGAACATTTGTTACTGCTGCTCAATGCAATGGGAGAGAAGTGAATAGATGAAATACACATCTAGAGATGTGTCCTTCAAAGTGGACAGAACTTTTAAATGTTTCAGGTTTGTTCCTTGCTTTGGCTATCATCACACTGTCCTTTGGTATGTTGGAGTGAGATGCAGTCTACCTCACTTACCTATTAAAAGTCATTTAAGGTAACTGTTTAAGCTTCCTCAAGAGATAGAAGTCTCCAGTGAGCTAGCAATTCCTTCCCAAGGAGTGCCTGGGTAGCAGGTAGGAATCTCCTATGGCAGTGGCCCTTTTCCTTTCCTGACTTGAACAGACAAATGTATGACACAGACGACAGTGTGTGACTATGCTTCCTACAGATGAATTTTTCATAGAGACAAGGTTGCCACACTTGTCCAGCCTGATCAATATTTACTGCTTGAGAGGAAAGCTAAATGCTCAGAGGTGTTTTGTTTGATTTTTATAGAGTGATACTTTAAAGACTCAAATCAATGGATCTGTTAAACATTAGAAATATTTGTCATGTTGCTCAGAAATGTTACCCTATTTCAAAGCTGAATATTAAGCTTCTGCAGAAAGGCTGAAAAATATGAAATATACAGGGGAAGACAGATGACTATCCTTAAAACTCCCCTTTATTGATTCACCTGGAATACAGACAATTTTCCATTGTCAATCAAATAGGAACTAACTGAAGATGTTATAGAAGAGTTCAATAAAAGCCAGACTTGGAACAATATTTTCTGAGCATACTGTCCCAGCTTCTAACAAAGTATAACTCAAGGACATCACAGGGAAGCAAAAGCCAAATCCCATTTGGAAATGGTTGCCACACTTGCATCTGTTGTGAAGTGCCTCAGTATATTCTGGCTTAGAGCTGGTGCTCCAGAACGACACAAATCCCCCATGGCACCTGTGCAGTATCTGTCAGACCCACACAGATGTCTCATGCATTGGGCCATCTCAAGTGGCAGCAACTCTTCACAACCAAGCAAATGATTTGAGTCCTAGTTATATAAGCTCCCAATTTAAGTTAGACTCCTATATTTGGTTCATTTATTTGCTCTCCAGTTTCTGTTTATTGCACTGGGAGCTCAGACACTCAACATTCATGTAGATGCCTTCCACTGTCCCTCCAACACCAAGAAAAAGAGTGAAATGGAAGGAATTAATTCAAGTCTCTATAAGCATCCTGTAGCAAACTACCACATTTTAGCCTTAACTTTACGAAAGTATCATCTCTTGTTTCAAATCTACCAGGTGAAACATTATTTTTTGCTGATAGTTTTTTTATTAGGAAAGCAGAATAATTTTTTCTTAATCCACCTTTTAAACATCATATCAGTTTTTATATAAAAAAAAGTCACTGTTGGCTTTCATTTTTGTTGCCCTAAATAACTCATCTTGGTTGTGTTCCATAGCCTTCTTTTGTCATCCTCATGACACAAAGGAGATACATCAATCTTGTTTCATTTGAAGTGCAGAACACATTATTTGAAATGTCTGTCTTTCAGAAGCATCATGTACAAGACTGGAAGGGAACTACTACGGAGCTTGGGAGGTGGTTGTAAGCAACCATCTAACATAAATGTGCTTTTCAGAGCTTGCTTCACTTCATTTTAAATGCTCCCCAGCCCCCATGCACTATACAATGTTGGTCTAAGACTTCATTCCACTGATATCAAGGACTGAGCTTCCAGATGAATCACATTTCATATTTCTTTTTCATTTACAATTTTTTATCTGCCTTTAGAAATGTGTTTTCACATAGCAAATCCATTTTAACTTGGTTTAAATAAGAATATGAAGCTTTAAGTTCTAGTTTTGAGCCATTTCAATTCCCTTAGTATGCAAAAAATCACATCTCAATAAAAGACAAATGTTTCTTGCATAAAATGTAAACTGAAGTTTCATCAGCAAAAGCTCATACAATGTCAAATGCAGGAGAGTAGAATACAGCTCTGTGAAGGTTCAAATGGACATAGAAAGTAGCCAAAAACTCAGAACAGTTTATTATTCACTTAATTTTAAGCCCCTTGTCAAGAATTTCCTAAGGGCAGCTTAGGCTTCTCATGTAAAATAAGTTAATACTGATCTACAGGGACAAACACTGTTTAAAAACTGTTCCTTCTGAAGAAATCTCAATTAAATGAGTGCTGGAACAGGCGAGAGAATGGGTGAACAGTCAGGAGATTTTCTTGAGAGCATCACCTCAGTTAGACAGTGACAAGATTTCACTTAAGACTAAATGTGGCTACAAGCCCAAAGTAAAAGCCTACAAGGAATTTTAAAGCAGCATGTTAAATTTTAGTATTGAAAGAGTGCCTGCCTGCTGCTGGAAGACCGATCAATTAATAAGCTCTAACAGACTTTACTGAAAAGACAACCTCAAGGCACACTATTTATATGACCAACTCAGTGCTCTTACAGGTGCACTAACTCCTAAACCCAGAGAAACAGAAGATACAGATGGAGAAGGATTTTCTTACCTTCATGTTGTGGCTTTACAAGATCCAGCATCTGGCATAAACAGTCTTCAAATGGCAAAGGTTCTATGGCCATGTTATCTAATTTTTGGCACTGTTCTTCATAAAAATACTCCAATTCATACATAGACAAAGCACCATCCCCATCAAGATCCATGCAGCGGAACCAGTATTCAATGCTGAAATTCAGTAATAGCAAAGAGCTGTTTATGCAAACTTACTACAGAATTTCAAGAATTCGTGTTGCCTCTTTTAAAGGCAAAACTAGACTTAAGACTACATTCCATAATGCCATAGAAAGTCATTAAACACCACCTACTGTGGTAAAAGTTTCTGGTATTTGCCATCGAGTATTGCATTTGAAAACACATTTGTTAACTGTGTGAAGGAGAAGACTAAAACACATGGTTTTATATTAAAAAAATAAAAAGGGAGCCAATGAAAAATTGAACTATGCATCAAAACTTTAGTATTTTGTTTTTTTCCCATATTGAACAAGCCATTGAACCTGTTGTTCAACATGTCACATTATAGGTTTCTTATCAATGTCATACAGCTAATACCAGCTGCACAGTTTCCCAAAGTCACTGGCATCATGAAACAACTGCAATTTCCTTTATGTATGACCCTGTCTATAAGCAGGCCACACAGCATACGGAACAATAACATTGAATTAGCCTCATAGAAGTCATGAAAAGCAACAACAGGAGACACCAGTAAATAAGAATGATGCAATGAACTGGGCCAGTTTTCCACTCATGTTTTTATAGTTTAGCTTCTTCCATCAGAGTTCCAGCTGTGCATCAGTGGTCCCCATCTAAGGACTGGAAAAGCAATCAAGTCAGTCTTTGTTTCTGTTAAAACATAAACTTATTCTTACCTAGTTGGTGTTTTCTTGTCCTCTTCAGATATCAAAAACCAGACAAAATCAGCGTAGCTAATCTTCCCATCTTTTTGTGCTTTTCTACCTCTTGAAGGCCAATGAGGAAAGAGAAAATTTATTTTAGAACACCTAGATTTTACTAATCAAAAGTAAGGATTATTTTCCTTGCTGCTATTAACTATGAACTCCTAAACAACACAGTGTTCGTAAGATAACTTGTCACAGACGACACTGATCATCCAGGATAAGGAGCTTGTGTGCTCTGTTCTATTTCTAATGCAATGGTAAAGAGGGGAGCAGCTGGAAAGGAAAGTAGCACGCTGTCCTACAAGGACTTTCTCCCTGGGCAGCAAAGCCACTGCTTAATTGTTAACAGAAGAGATATCTCAATTAATTTTGTAATGATATGTTATATACAAGTACATATGCTTCTTAGAATTTCTATTCAGGTAGACGTGATGAGAACTTAAAGCTTTACAGAACTCCAGTGGCTAAAAGTTTCGGAATGGAAATGAAAATGAAATAGAAACATTCAGGAAGTGTCCGTGACAAGAACATAACTGTCTGTTTCTACTCACATACCACAGAACAGAGCAACTGAATAAGTTCTGGAGACACATAGTCAACCCTGTCTAGTAAAAAGTCAGGTAGGCAGTTCCTAGATATATTACATTTCAATCCTAAATTTTTTTGTTTTATTTTCAAGGTGTCTAAGAAAATATGGTATATGTTTTTGTCTTGCCCAAAAAACTCATATAAAGGAGTAAGCTCTGGACATATGCCTGTCAAGTGTCATTTCACTCATTTCAGCTTTTGTTATTTCTGTTTATCAGTTGGTTTCTAACTGCAGATACCATGCTAGCAATATGTTTCAAAAATGAATAAAATGCCATAAATACACGAGAGGAAGTCAATCCAAAGGGGAAAAAAATGCAAATTAACTCAACCAGAGGCATTTTTGTAAATTTATTGATGCAATAAGCATTTATTTTACAAGTAGTACTTAAAAGCCCAGTTCCCTTTGAACATTTTACAGGTTTGAGGGATGGAAAAACAATGATGCCAACATTTCTTCCCTTCCTCATTCCCAGCCCTGCTAAATCACACAATATCCAGGGTAAAGAAAGGGGAGCGAAGAACTTGGACTGTGCCAAAGGTTCCAAGAGCACTCTAGTACTACTGGACTTTAAATTAATAATAAATCTTGAAATTCACTGCTCCATTGCAAGGGGAAGGCATTTTTTTCTCTGGGAATATCATACAATTTAACAAGCAAATATTAAATTGGATTTAGATCAGCATACAAATTAAGTACCTTGTTACTGCCCCTGAGAAGATCCGCTCTATCATCCTATTTGAAATTGCTGTGAAAAAAGGTTTAAAACAGTGTCAACTCAATACAAGTTATTTTTGCTTTGTATTGTCTAGTTGAAGAGTTTACTGGAACCCTTTTTATATACACATCTGTGAGAAAGCTCATTAATCCCTTTGAGTCCTTTTGGAGAGAATCACTTAACACAAAGTCTCCAAAGCAAAGCTAGAACCAACCCGCTTGGAAATCAGATTCTATACACAAATAGTAGTGTACTAAAAGTAATAAAATTGGCTGATTAATAAGACAGCATTTACCAGTTCTTTGACAAGTAAATCAAGTTTTCCAGTGACATTAAGTTTTACATGACCTTGGCAAAGAGCCAAAATGGAATTGGCACGATCATACATACTAAACATATCTAACTGATTCTGCCAGGCATCTATTTCTGACATGGTTCTGATCCATGCTTCTATTTTGAAACCATTTCAGGGATTTTAGAGACATGTCTTAACCGAGCACTACCTCTGTAAAGGATATTCAATTTATCCTTAAGAATTTGTGGATGGTACTCAAAGCAGCACATGATACTATTCTCATAGAAGAAAAATTACTTCTCATTATTCTAGCTCTGAAATAAATTTTCAGCACTGTAGAAATACTGATAATTAAAGCAGGTGGTTAACAATTCAGATAATTGATCTGTTTTATGTACGTATGGTGATGCCATCACCACATCATTGTAGTAAGGTCACTAGTGCCTACTTAATATTTATCCCCAGAACTGTAGGACAGCAAATTTGTTTCACACATATATGGTGCTGCTTCTTACCTACTTTTGAAATAATGAAGTTTTCAACCTTCTCAACAACAGCTACATACTCACATGTAAGAAAATATTGAAGTGCTTATCTAGTGTAATTTAGTCCAGCAACAGTACAAAAGGGAGAGTAATTGATGTAACAAAATTGATGTAACCAGATTATCTAATTTTGACAGGCAAAAAGACTAAAGTGAAGTTATCAGACTCATTTTATAGTCTTTAGTCTAGTTCTCACTAAGCAGCCGCCGTTAACTTTCAACCAAAATTCCATGGTTTAAAGGATGCAAAAGTAAGTTGCAAGTGGCATTATATCAGTCGTGCTTTCTTTCTGTAGTGTGCTAAGTAGAGCAGCCACTCAGACGAAAGCAGATTTCCTTCCTCATTGTCCTAAAGCATAGTCAAACTTCAGTAGGCAAATTTTTAAAGCAATCAGAATTGTATTTATTCTTTTTGGGATTTTTTATGGGACAATATTCCATAATCACTTTGTGCTTAAGTAAGCTTTCCAGTCCCGAAGGAAACACTATTGAGATGACCATGGACAGAAAGCATCTAGAAAACCCTCAACAGTTCCATACAAGCTACAAGAATATTTAAAATAGTTCAAGACTACGGAATCACAGTCACTGCATATTATGAATGCAGGAAATGTAAACCTGCTAACTAGTGCTACATAGTATTAAAACAAAATGTACTGCAGCTAAGTTAGCAAAACTTTAAAATAAGCCAAGTACCTGAATGTATGTTTGCCTTTTCTACTCTTTTCATACCTTGCCATAAAAGCCATTGTACTTGAATAATATCAGTATAACTGATAGTTTCCAAGATAACAACACAAAATTGCCAAATGCAACCATTTATAATACACCAATACTTAAATGATATTTCCTCTACTTCTTCACCAAGATCAGAATTAAAACTCAGAATTTTCCTCAAATCTGGTATTGGTAGATGCAAAGCAGCATCACAGATGACTTGTCCTGCTTTATTTCACAGAATCAGCAGGATCAGCTATACCAACACCAACAGACTCATGAACACCGGCCTTGGCATTTAACCACTTCCTCAGCTGAAAGTTTACAGGTCATTTAATACATGTAAACAAAGGTGCTTCATTTGTCATACCATGATCATTATGACGAGCTAAATCCTTCCGATCAATATAGAGGTCATGGTCTGTATCCAGCTCCCAAAATTTGCAATAGATAACATAAAAATGTTCATATGAGAAGTACTCTGTCAGCTGGTTAATATCAGCTTCCTCTTCCAATAATGCCACATTCTATTATCAGAAGGATAAACAGAACACGTTAAAGAGTTTGTAAGATGTTTTGAATGATCTGAGTTCTCATAACCAAGTTAATATCTAATGCTATTTCAGTGGAACAATTTTTATCTTCAGGGACAATGAACACTGTACAGCATGACAGCAAAGACTGAACACACACATAGTAGAAAACTAACGCATTCACAGAAGAATGAGTATATCAGCCCAATTTCTGCTAAACGCATTTGCATGTATACACCTCTAGATAGAAGAAATGACATTTAAACATATTCTAATGTATGAGAATTAATGCAATTGGGTCTTCACTACTTTTTGGAAAAGGAACAAATGTTACTTACGTTACTTCCTTAAGCAATTAGTTAATGCAATTTTAAAACTTCTAGAAATAACTGTCTTGTAAAATTTTAGCTATTACGTACCTGCAAGAAGTTGCTTTTCCTGAGCTCGTTACAAGTTATTTTTCCAGACCAGGACCTATTTACTGTATAAAATATTCTCTGTATGACCTGCAAGAAACAGAAAATGGAAAGAAATCTTAACTATGACTCCTAAACATTTGTTAATGATGTCTTAGTTCAGCATTAGAGAGCTCTATCTTTCCCCTATTTCTATTCTTCTAGTTACTTAACAGGCTTCTCTTGTGTTGTATTACCAACCCATTCCTAAATCTATATCTAAACTCATGTTGATAAGTCTTATTTCAATGCTGCAGTACCCATATCTCACTCAGTAATGTTGCAGAATACTTGTATGCTATCCAAAGTAGGTCTATTGGCAATTTCACTACCTCCTAGTCTTCCAGATCTACAGGACATCATCTAATAATTATATTAATATATCATATTACTTCAGATTAAAAGAACTGTATGCTTGTTATAAGACTGTTTTACTTCATAAATGAATTTACAGAAATAGAATTGGGAGTGTTTAAGGATCAGAATACAGCAGATGTTACTACTTCTGAAGTCCACAAACACGACAAATCAACAGTTGACAGAAATATTTCCTGCAGGTGCAGAGAGAGAATGTTTTTCCCCCATTAAATTTTACTCTATTTTAAGCTTCTTGGGAAAAAACCCTGTTAATAGCATTAGAAGTAGTACATGAATATTTTCAAGTGAATAATAATAATTAAAAAAAAAAAAATCTATGCAAGAAAGATGAGTAGTTCTTGTGCCTTGACTGATACTGGAACCAGAAACAAATACATTCAGTTGAATACCCAAGACTATTGTTTAAATCAGTTTTACATGTACATCAATTTGATGATCTTACAGGTCTTCTCCAACCTAAATGGTTTGATGGCTATTTTGGACAACTCATGCATTTGGTGTAATTTGCTTGGGTTTAGTTTACAAACATAAGATTTTAAAATATGTTTTTTCTGCTACTTAACTGAACTCAGTATTCACCTCAATTAGGTTGACTTATGTCAACCAGATATACATTTCAAGTCAGTCATTCACCACTAAACAAAAACAGACAAAAAAAATCTAAACATGTTATGAACAATAACTGCTCAACTGGTGATTAATTATACCCCCTAATTGGCAAGACTCAATATTGCACGTGTAGCGTTTGATTTGCAACAGAGCAGTTACCAGCTAAAACCCCCACCTCTTTAGGAAGCTCTTCCCCCCACTTAAAATGTCCTCCCAGCTAAAGACTAAGTTTTTATCACTTCAGATTTTAATTACAGTAAATCAATAGTTTAAACTAACCAATGATTTCTGAATTACAAATAGAAGAGTAATTTATCTATGAAGTTTTAACATAAAGCATAAACTGTAGAGCAGCAAGCCCTTCAGTTCTTACTTCGAACAAGAACAGCCGGTTCAATAACTCCAGATAGAAGAACATCTTATCCTACTTCTGAAACTTAATTAATTCTAATTGTGAGATTTAGGGAAGGCCCATTTTTGGCTTGTACTACAAAGTAATTTTTTCTAAAAAGGTTTTTGCCTTAGCTTTGCAACTTAATCCATCTGCATGTCATTATCTCATCTGTTATACATTTAACTGGTCTAAAAATAAAAACAAAATTGCATGTTTGGTAAAGACAACTGGGAACAGACTTAAACTGTTTTCTAAAGTGTATTGAGGCAGAGTATAAGCAAATTGTCAGAGAATTGCCTTGTTTACTATGCTGCATAGTGCAGAGAGGAAATGGTGCAATACAGAGATTACAAATTCAAGAATTCATAGTTCAGTTATGCACATAACATCCTTGCAGAATAAATGTAGTATCTCATTTGTCAGGACAAACATTTTTAACATATTTCAGCTTCATCTTGGCCACGTGTACCTAATCTTACCACTACACTGACCAACCAATTTATACTATAGAATAGCAGACAGAACAGATTGGTTCCATGGCCGAACAACACAAGACACACGCTAAAGAGGTGTATGTAATGCATATGCATACACACACATATGTATATATGCATGTCTATATAAAAACACAGCAGAAGAACAGCTCATTTGGTTGGCAACTGGAAGTATCCTTTAGAAAAAACTTCATGTAGTGAGGTAAAACTAATGGCCTTATTAGTCATGCCTTATTTCATCTCAGGGAAAATGATCCATAATTATCAGTAATAACTTGCAGGACAGAATTTTAGAAGACTGTATCAGGCAACAGTTATGCCATCCTAAATGACAAGAAAGGGCAGAGTGCTCCTGCCATTTCTGAATCTTTAAACTAGTATTCCAAATATTGTTGCCATATTCATACTAGTTTATTTCTGAGATTTTGGTTTAAGCACCAATTTCTGTTGAAGACTACACTAAATTTTGTTAGTGAAGTACTGCCAGCACTGTTTTATTCAATATTGCTAGAGTAATTTATTTAATATTGCTAGTTCCTGCAAAGAAAAGAAACTGAAAATGGCAGGACCTTTTCTTTCCCACTGTTCTTCAGAACAGGCACCAAGCTTTCACAATTTTAGCCAGAACAGGCTTTGATACAACCCCGAATCCATTAAGCAACAAAAGAGCTCACAAGCAGAACATTTCCTTCAGCCACAACGGACAAGAAAGTTCTGGGAGCTCACGTAATCGTTATAACAAGAAGCAAAATCTAGTGCACCAGGACGTACTTAATAGGTCAGCAAGTCTCTGTAAGAAGGATATAACAAATCAAAACCAAATGCTCTCAGAAAAAGCTTCCACAATTTTAGCCTGGGTCAAAATATAAGATGGATAAAAGATAAACAACTCTGCATGTTTTTTGTTGGAGAATATTCATTAAGCTAGTTTTCAAATGCACTGAACATCAAGTGAACTGAACATAATTTTGAAGAATTTTAATCTTTTGAGACTTCAGTGTAATCAGCTGTCTAGTCCACAGTTGAGAAAATTTAATGTCACTGATTCTTCCCTTGGGTACAGAAAAAATACTTTAGTCACATAACCCTGGGAAGACAGAATGAAACTTTTCATGTATAAAACCATCTTAGGAAGAAAAGTCCCCAGAGAGGAGAGCGCTTCAATATTATCATTATTTCACTTAACACCGAACATAGTCATATTAATATAGATGATTCATTCAAGATTTCATTTAATTAATCCCAGATTAAGGTCAAGATTCTAATGAGTACAGTCTACAGCCACAATCAAGTGTTTAAGATAACAGCCTGCTTAATGTTCATTAACTTATCCAACACTATTACAATTCAGTATCACCAGTATTAAATTCAGCAATTTCTTATAGATGTTAAGAAAGACTCTTTCTTAAGCACCATAGTTTTTCTTCACAAGATTTCTAGTTATGTAGAAATGAAGACTGACAGCATACTCTACTTTTCTCAAGAGACAAAGATGCTTAGACATATTGATTAATCCTAATTTTGACTTTCTTATTTAACGAAAAAATAGCTTTTCCAAACACAAATCACTTACTGTTGTAATGTACCGAGAATGAAATTCAGACGCTTCTTTTAAAAATGAAAGGCCTGGATGACTATTCACCACATCCTACAAAAAAAGGAATAACAATATCCCAAAGAGTATTCATTAGTGACTATATAAAACAATTAGTACAGAATAGTACATCTGCTTCCTTAACCAAAACAGTTCAAATTAACTACCACAATCATTAATAATAACTTCATTTACAAAATGCTTTACATAAATAACACTCCAGACTTCTTAAAAATAAAATTATCTTTTAAAGAACCATATAAACAAAAGCTTTCATATATTTTAGAAATATAATAGAATTTTTTGGCCTATATTTTAGATAGGCTAAAGATTTTGAACACTGCTGACTGCTGTAGCTTGTAATTTTGTGGCTGACTATGAGTCAGTAAAGTCAATTTAGGCTTTATTCAGTCATTACTAAAGGTGGTGTTTACTGTTCTTTCAGTGAAGCTTTATCAGGTCTTGAATTCATATGCCACTTTTCCTTTGCCCTCCTAAGGCCCACCTTGACTTAAATAACTTCAGCTGCCTTCCTAAACATAAAAGATTCCAATAGGTGTGGTATTCCTGCAAGCAATTTTAAACCCCTGCATCTTACTGTAGCTCTTAAAAAAAGTCCTCACCTTATACAAAATGATTAACTGTAAACAAGTCACTCACTAGCATCTCAGTGGACCCTGTAAAGTGAGTTGTACTAAATATTATCAATAAACTTTAATGATGACAATGAAAAAGTACATTTAGGTCAAAAAATTCAGGGCTTTGCCAGTTCATCATTTTGTTGTGTTTCCAGAACTAGTTTCAGTTGCAATTTACTTGTAAAAAAGGAATGAAGTCTTCTTGCACCAAGTAGTTACATCCAGGGTTCATAAGAAGATGAACAAACTTTGCAGCATCATCATAGCAGGTCTGAAGTATTCTGAAATGTAAATATTTCCATTTAATATTCTACACAGAAAATTAATCATGCTACCTCATGCAGGCATCCTAGAGCAAGGCCTATGAAACTGCGAGCACAACATTTAATTCAAAAGCTAATTACAAATGTCAAACTAGGCTCCAAGTGAACTTATCAAAGCAGTACTGTCTCATACATTTATGTTAAAGGAGGTGGGTACCTCTTGTAATTGATTACATGAATAGATATTTAAAAGTTAGAATTAGAGGAGAACTAAAAGGAATAAAAGGCATTTTGTCCAGAACTGGCATTTAGAAGTTAGGGCCACTTTTCCCATAAACAGCCAGTCATTTACCATATATTTTAAAATCTATAACCTCTGTAAATGAGGATTTGTTTGTTTATGTAAAGTATTAAAGTATTATTTAGTTACATTTTCCCATGTAGAAGTTTGCTGTCAATGGTTGATTATGGCAAAATGTTTTATTTCCCTTTACAGATGAGATTGCATTCAGAGCTTAAAATATCACATTTCAATGAAAAAAATGCAGTACTTCTAAAAAAAAAATCTACTTACTTCCGCCACATTGCAACAAATTTATGAACCGACACGTATCCTGTTCGTTCACCTCCAGCACAATAAAACAAGGGACCTTTCCAGTAAAGTGGGCATTCACAAGCCTACAATAAAGTGTACATCAAGTCAGTTTATTGCTTTTTTATCTGAGGGTTACTCCCTTATTTATAGATCATTCAAAAATTACACTTTACAAATGTTAAGAAGAAAACATTAAGGCACAGATTGTTTAAAAATTGTTTCTGAAACAACTGCGCCTTCCAAAATAATTCATTTTAAGCAACTGCTCTAGGCTAAAGTCCAAAAGTGGAAAGCAAAACACAGTGCAACTTGAAGCATTCCTAACAGATGAAAGCACTTGTGTGTCTGCTCTGCCCATGCTCCAAGCAGCTGAATGGAGTCAATGTTAATAAGCTCCGCTCAAGAGCTGGCTATCTTTAAGCTAACCTCAAGACAGCACAAACAGTAACAAAACTTCTGAACTGGAGAAAATTTACCTTTGTCTGTCTCAGAGGATGGCTCAACTCATCTGCATCCTTGCACGTGCATGGCACATCTTCTACTCAGTTTTAAGTAGTAGGCTGGCCTGCCCTGATCAGCAGTACCAGTTACACCCTCACCACTTCAGTGCTCCCATGTACACCTACAGTGCTGTTTCTGTGTCTGCTCCAAGCTTCCTCAGCCATAACAGCAAAGTACCTATCCTGCCTAAAACTGACTACAGCTGGGAGTACTCAGAAATGCTGGCATCTCCAAGAATCTCAAATAAGATTATGAATACTGCAAGACGTATAAGGTCACCAAAGAACAGTTCCTTCTCATGCAGTAGTTTAACCAGTACTTCAAACTAATAAAAAAGGGAGTTTGACAGACAGAAAGGCTTTGTATTATTCTTCAGGAGGGTGCCTTTCATCACTGAATTGTAGGTGACTGGACCTTTCCACCTTCCTTGCTGAGAGGGAAGGGTCTCTTCCATACCTCCCCACTTCTGTGTTGGATGGAGCTGTGGAAGACAGGGATCCTATCATTCAGCTTAGTGGTTAAACAGTTTCGGTGAGCAAACAAGGAGTCTCTGAACCCCCAGTCCTGCTCTTGTGTAAAGTCTTAGTTTCTATTTTCTAGACCCTGAACTTTAAATGCAAAGTGACAGGAACAGGGATAAGAACCTGAGACTCATTACCAAGACCATGGCTTGCAGTGATATTTCAAGCACTGATTCAACATTAAAAAAAAAATGGAAATTTATGTTTATTTTTACTAGCTTATTGTCTGTTACACAAAAGTTTAAAAATATTTGCTGCTTTCTAAGCTCAGTATTTTGTCACTCCACCATAACTCTGGATTAGTTCTTCAGTAATAACTAGAGAGCTATAATCTCAAGTTACCAAACCATTCTGTCTTTCAGTGTCTTTACAGTGGAGGTTCATTACACAGCCAAATGAAAAAAAGTGTGGACACCTGAAAACAAAACAGATATTAACAGTGCTTTTGCCTTAAGTGTCTTGGTCAATATAGAATGCAGAACAGCATACAATATGCCCTTTAGTATTTGGTTGTCTATGCAGCAAAAAAAGGAGTTCAAGTTTTGGTTTAATGTTTGTTTCTTTTTGTCAGGTCATTTGATACACAGTTAATGCAAAAAATTACACACATAACTATGTGTATCAACAATGTAGAATATTGTTGGATAATAACTTGTAGGAGATGAAAACACATAATACAAAAAAACAAAGCACATAGAACTCATCTTTCCTTTCCATAGGCATTCAGTAGAGTAAGCAAGTTCTCACCTTTGCAACCTTCCCCATATCTTCTAATGTTGCCCTCTCATTTGGAAATTCAGAGAAAGTTTTCTCAATTTTGGCAATCACAGCATCTATATTCACTTTTTCCTTAGGACATCCTCGAGGAAAATAAAAAGTTGGAATGTTTTGACTATGTGAGGGTGGCAAAGTTTCTTCCTTCTTTGTCTGAACCTGAATAGATAAATACACATTTGACAGTCAGGTACAATGAAATCATGTAGTTATCTGCAGACAACTTAAATCTCTTGGTATTATATGTTCAAACACACCTTCAAAAAGACTTCAGATTATAAGTTGAACAAGCTATTTAAGAATGAGAGCATATTGGAAAAATTAATGAGTATTTCCAAAACCTGTCATTTCGAAAGATTTCTAGGATGTTAAAAATTAAATAAAGACAACTTCAGTCTTCAGCATATGAAGTTTCAAGACTGATAAGACAGCTTCTTGGAGACATCTGAAATTACTCAGGTTTTATTATCTGTTTCAGAAAAAAACCCTTCAACTTCTAGCTTAAAGGACAGATTATGAGAGAATTTGCTTTTGAAATATTTCTACTTTTACCGCTTCAAGCTTTTGAAATAAACATGACAACTTTGTTACAAACCACCAACTTGTTTAATTTAGTTACAGCGAAGATTTTCTTTTTTTTTTTCCTCCTAAAAATGACAGATTTTATAAAGTAATAAATGATGTCTGCAGAGGGATTTTTTTGGTAAATTATACACAATTATAGTATGAGACCTTAGAAATCCATTTCTCAAGAATTGTGATATGTCATACCACTAAAAAAACCCCAGATGACCAATAACAGGAGAAATTTATTTAGTTTCAGTAAAGAAGAATTTACTTTGTACTTAGTTAAGAAGCAACTCAAAATTAGCAATTAAAGATGAAGTCTTTAATCCCAACACTACTATTCAAATGTAGAAAAACAATGCTATATGGTGACTCCTCCTAGTGTTGAATATGTTCAAGATCCTGAATTCTATCTCTCAGAATTGGGTGAAAATAAACCCAAAATTTCTCTAAAAAAACCTCCAACCCTCATTTTACTCCTTATCATCTTTGCCAAAGTGCCTGTAAATATACTCAGCTTCCTACCACAGTCAAGGTCCTTCCATAAGTCAGTGAAAGAACTAGGTACTTATGGACAGCAGATTTTAATTTGCAGAGTTCCAACTCAGGAGCCTTTACTGGAATGCTACACATGCCTGAACTAACCTTTCCTTCCCCTCCTCTGCATTTGAGCCAGCATTCCTATCCACAGCAGCAGAATTACCTCAACCGTGATACAAGTTTTATTTCATAGAGGAAAAAGTTACCTTGAATCTGTGACACTTGGAGTCAATGTCTGACACCTGCTAAGAATCCTGCAGATAACAACTTTTGATATCTAATCATTAGTTCAGTAGTCCAGTTGATGAGGCATCAGCATAGAATAAAAGCACCACAAGGAATCAAAAATCCCTTTCAACTTCCAAACTTTTGGGAATTATAAAGATAGTAATGTTTTATTCTCTAAGTCACATCACCACCATCGCTACAAATAATGTCTGTAACTGGGTAAACACCTTGTTTCATTCTAGAAGCCGAGTTCTGCCCATCGGCACTTTAGAAGAGCCCTAGTAGTTACCCCCTTTCTCCTCTTCCCCATTTACAAGAACTGCCTGGATTAACATAAGATTAGTTCAGTTGGTCAGAGCATGGTGCTAATAATGCCAAGCTTGCGGGTTCGATCCCTATATGGGCCATTCACTTAAGAGTTGGACTCAATGATTCTTGTGGATCCCTTCCAACTTGGAATATTCTCTGACTCTGTCATAACCACTCCCATTCGAGCTGCTCAAATGGCCAGCGAAGTGGCAGGTGTTCCAGTTCTTCAGGGGTGCCCAATGAGGTGTGGCTCATCGGAGAAAAAGGGAAGGATAAGTGCACATCATAGGCTACTAACATTCCCTGAATGTTGCAGGTAACATGAGGTAAAACAGTATTTCAAGGAAGCCTAGTACAGACAGGCAAGGCATTTTTAAAATTCACAGCCAGGGAAATTTAGACCTTCAGATTAAAAAAGAAAAATTTCTTTTGAAAGGAAAGGTAGGGGCAGAGGTAAGACTACACTGGAAAAAAACTGCAAGACAAAAAGAAAAGCTATCAACAGAACTATTTGTTCTTCAGAAACTTTATATTTTCTCAGAAACTACTAATTACTTCAGATAGCACAGAGCACACAATAAATAATTTCCATCGGTCCAGGTTAAAAGTTGTTCTTAAACACATGTGGAGATGTCAATCCAGGATTTGTAATAAAACCTATCCTAGTACATGTTATCTAAAAGAATTTTAAAGTAAAGGCTTTTTAATTATTCATTTTTCATCTTACAGTCTGGAACATGTTTACAACAGACAAAGATTACGTGGAAGAAGTTAAGCAACAGATTCAGAACTGAAAATAAACATATAGGTAAAGAAAATTGATTTTTCAAAGATGAAAATGTTATATTTAAGCATGACTGAATTCAGCATGCTTATTGTAAAAATATATAATATTTATTCAGCTCTAAAACCAAGCAAGTATGGACTACAAACCTCTCAAGGCAAGACAAATTAACTATCCCTATGCTGGTTTCTCAAGGTTGGTGAAAGATGAAACTATAAAAATGCTTCATTTACATTAGCAAGTGTATGATCACTTCACAATAACTTCTGATAGATTTATTTGGTACCTATATACAGCTACCTAGTATGAATACTCTCTAGGGCACAAAACAAAATGCCCTTGAACATTCCTCGTGGTACCCAGCAACCGACCTCAGAGCACAGCTTTTGCTCTGCATCTGCCACATGGATGTTCTGAGCACACTAATGCTTCTTAAATGGCACCAGCAACTGAATTGTGCTTAGTATCAGTCAACAGAGGGATAAGAGCCTGTATCAAAGAAAGAAACAGGTTGTCCAAAACTATCAGCTCCAACTAATGCACTACAAAGTTGGTATTATATCTCTTCCCTCTTCTCACCTTCCAAGAAGGGCCAGGGATTCTTCTTTTCTTTCAGTCTGAATCCCATACAATAACTGAAAAGCTCCTTGTACAACTGAGGCCATTCTGCTATATGTGCTCTAATGAAGGAACAAGTGATACTAAAAGGGCTCTAAAAACTTCATTATTTTCTATAATTTCAGCTACTAGTTACTTCTGTAGATGCATATACTGCATAACGGATGAAACAGTCAGTTTTGTTATTTCAGGGCAGTTAAAATGCACTAATATTAAACTGTTCTAAAATTAATTACAATTTTAACCGGGGAATTTCTTCATTGACAAGAACTGCTGGAAGTCTGTTAACATCAAATCTTTGACTGGAAAATTTGCAGGAGCAGTTTGTTAATCTCTTTACACAACAACTCCGTTTCAATGGTTAATTTAACATTAGAAAGTAATCTACATCTATGGCTTTAAGTTAAAACCTTACTGTACAGGTACAGTAAGCTAAAATGACAAAAGAGACTGGTTTGGTCAGTGAAAATTTTCCCTGCAACTTTCTGAGAAATAGCACCAAGAATAACATCCTTGGAATTAAGGAAAGCAGGTGTATAAGCTTGTAAATAACTCAGACGTATGCTGCAGTGTCAGGACTGAAGGGAGCATTAACCTTTGCAATAAGCATATATGAAATCCAGAATCTATAACTGTATTGTGAAGTTGCCACTGCAGTTTAGGTTTTATGTAACAGATGGGAAGTGAGGATTCCTTGAAAATTTCTTGATTGTACTAACATAAAAATAAAATAAAAAAAACTTATGTAAGATTTGTCTATAAGACAATTCAAGAGAACTTTTAATACATAAGCAGTTTTCATTCCCAACATATAGAACTGTAAGGACTGTCCACAGCCATCCAACACTTACTTGCCTTGACTTTTACAATGGAAGTTTATACCTCATTGGAGGTCACTGTTCGAAGGGCAAACTTCTGATTTTGTTTTGCAGCTTTCCAGATCCTTTTCCAATGATTTTTTCAGCAGTTGTTTATAATAATAATATTATGAAATCAATATTATAATCACAATACAGTAATATAGTTAGTATACCCTAGAGAACATCAATGAATCTTATTCCAAACAGAGAAATTCATTCTTCATGCTAGATAGCCTTCTAACATATCCCAACTGATGAGTTGCACTCAGCATTTAACTTTGTTATAAGCAAAAATAAAGACATTAGGAATTTTAAAAGGGTGCCCTTTTCCTTCTCTCTCCACTGAAAGAAAGAGCTGATGCTAGGATACAGTCATTCAACTACAGGATGTATTTCTGAAATAACAAGGAAGGGGGAGCTTGTTCCCAGATATTTTAAGAATGTATGCTCAGTAATGTCTAGATCTGACATTTGCATGTAGTGACTGTCAACTAGAAATACTGAGCCCCACAAAGGGGTTGAATATATCAATTCAAATTGAGTGAAACTTCACTTAAAAAAGACTTGCTGAAAAAGGGAGCAAGGTAAATATGTTTATAAATGTAATATTTTTTAGACAGCTTAGAGATTAGGACACAAGGTCATTGAGTCATCATAGAATGGTTTGGATTGGAAGGGACATCCAGTTCCAACCCCACCCCTCCTCCTCTCCATGCTGTGGGCAGGGAATGTCACCCACTAGACCAGGTTACTCAGGGCCCCATTTAACCTGGCCTTGAACACTTCCAAGGATGGGGCACCCACAAGTTCTCTGGGTAACCTGTGCCAGTGCCTCACCATGCTCACAATAAAGAATTTTTTCCTAATGTCCTCTTTTAGTTTAAAACTGTTCCCCCTTGTCTATCACTATCAGGATTGAACTGATTCAGTATTTGCATTTTTTTGACATGACTACAGAATAAGACAACCTCATTCAGAAATGCTGATGCTTTCTAATATCTGACAGACAACAACATTTGTTCTGCCTGTTTCTCTGGAAAAAAACCCCAACAAACAAACCCCCAAACATTTAAAACAGAATTATGGAGTTCACAGTCAGCTCTTGCTGTAGTATTTGACATGCACTTCCACAGGGATGTCCATATTAAAGAAAAGTCAATGGATTGCATACAACATGGTCAAAACAGGACACCCAAAAATTATACCTCACATTTATACCCCAACTTCACTTTAGGTTTTTACTAAGTCATGCA